TTGCTGTCTTCTCGGGGTCCCAAAGCAGGCACCTCCCGTCCACTAAGGGAGGGTGCCAAACGCTTCTGCATGGTTTGCTGCAGCAGCGGCCATCGAGCCTACGAGTGCCCCGAGACAAGGCACCTGCGCTACTCCGTGGATCGCAGGGTACTGTACGTATGGCCTAGCTTTCGAACGCCCGGATCATCCGGCAGCTACTCTTGAGGTGCTTTATTTGCTGGGAGACTGGCCACAACACCAAAAACTGCCCGAGCAAGATCAAATGCTCCTTGGCCATATTTTGTTCATGAGCGGTGCAATGTGCATGCTTTTGGGTCGTGGTCTAAAATGTTGGTTTCACTCCCGGGTGACATTAGCGGGTAATTCGCGACTTGCAGAGGTGCAGAGAGAGATCATGTGAAGTGCTCCAAGGCAAATCGTGTAATCGAAAAGGCCACGATGAGGAGGCCATGCAGCTTGTTCGGAAAGGGGCGTGGACTGCTTTGACGAAATTGCTCAAGGTCTGCCCAATCAGGCAACTTCGAGCTGCCGAGAAGAAGGCTGAGTGGACAGAGGTGCTACTCTTGACCTCCCGACTGGCTTTCTACTTTCCAGGGCACACGACACGTCGTACACATAAAGCTTGTGAGCTTCAGGTGCGATGCCTCGTCTGTGGAGCTACAGGCGCATCTTCACTCCATGTGCCCGCGGGCATGCCGCCAAGTCTCGTGCGATGTTGTTCTGTGTGCACTTAACTTAACTAGGAGGAGTCACCGGTGTTTTGTATCGTATCAGAACTGATGGGAACAGAGTCCACTGCGAGGCCACCTGGCGTGTGACGGCACTGGCAAGTGGTGGGGCGGTTCCCGCTGGGAGGAAGCAGAGGATGTTTCCGACACTTGGTACCAGAGCAACATCAAACAGAAACATGCTCTTGTTGTGAGCTGCCATTCGCGACCGTCTTGCTGTCACCTGTCAGGAGGCAAATGATCTGCAACTCATGCCAGACCGTGGGCCCTTGCAAGAACTGCCCTGTCTTATAAAAGCAACATTGTGAGTATACACTTTACTTACTCCACTGTGTTCGTCTATGAGCTTACACGATCGCGGTAAAGGTGGTCTGTCTTCGAGACAAGGTTGTCGATAAAAGACGTGCTGGTAGTAAGGACTTGTACTGCGGGCAGGCCCAAGCCTGCTGCGCCGCTAACTTGCCCATATCAGTGAGGCTTGCTAGCAGGGGGATTCTACAATGATTGCAGCTGTCACAGCATTCTGGCGGTGCAGCCTGCCGATACACGTTGCGACTCCACAGATGCTTCGTTCAGAGGACACAATCGTGCATCGGAGCGCATCCGAACTAGGCCCGCTCAACTGCTGCAGGTCCGAGCCCCGCTCGCGTGATCAAAGTCTGTGTCTGCGATTTCTTGTTGTTTTCTAGACGTGCTTAAATCCCGTCTTGATCATGTCCTTGCCCTGTTCAAAACAACGGCACCTCTGCAGAGCAAGCGCATGAGCTACACTGTTCTGCCTCGCATCCCTATCTTTAGTTGCTGATATTTGTATGCCCTGTATATAAAATCAGGGCATGTATCATGTGAGGACCATGGTGAGGACGGCGAGGACGATGCGAATGGCGAGGAACAAGTAGACCAGACCTCGAACAACGAGAGCGGCACAAAGAAGGCCTGGATGTATGCAGACGTGCATGTTAAAGGCAGCAACAGCCCCGCCGCTCGCCTCGATCCCCTCCCCTACCCCCTCCCTTCCGCCCCCCCGCTTCCTCTCTCTAGATCTACTCGAGCCATCTGGAGCCTTTAGGGATAGGTAGCCTTGGTTATCTGTGCATGCACATATGTAACATGTGTATACAATGCGTCGAGTGCGAGTGCTAAAAACATGTTCATACAATGTATAGTTTACTGTCCTGTCTGCTGGTTGAAGAGCACTGGGGGGAAGGGATTATCTTACTACCTTCACCTCCTATGATGTACGTGGCTTCTTATGATCGGAGCACGACCCTGACAGAACCCAACCAGTGCTTCTGTGACCCCTTATAAAAACCATAGATCCCTACCAAAAAAGGGAAGATCTCCAGAAAATCGAAGAAAGGAAGCGACTCCTCAGAGACTCCAATATCCCTTCATTAACGAATATTCCTTAAATCATATTAGGGATCCTACTGTAATTTAAGGAATATTCCTTAATTAAGATCCTCCAGGCCCTGAAGATGGCGAGGCTCCTCGGCCGGCCCCAGCCCGGGGCCAGCGCAGCAAGTGGCTCTGAGACCCGGAACCACGCGGAAGGCAGCGGGCATCTTCGGAGAATACGGGGCCCCCTGTAGTTGTTAGGAACCCTAAGGCCCCAAAGAGGATGGGAGCAATTCATTCGTGTTAGGTGGGATGCTATGCCCTTGCTGCTTGAGATGTGAGGCCATCCCACGGCAAAGACGAGCAGTCGATGGAATTACCAGGAAGTGGTCTGTACAAGCGAACACTGTGGTGTGCCAAGGGCTTCGTGGCTACGTTTCTTCGTATCCTGCCGTCTTGCCGTCAGGACCGTGGCAGCTGGGGCTATGGCAATGGATGGCAAAATTGGGGAAGACAAGGCCGCCGCTGTCGAGATCAAGACCGCTGCATTCTTGCATGCTAGGTGTCTCTCCTGCATACACATTATCCTTATCAGTCAAGTAGATCTGCTCGGAGGCAACGGGTGGCACCAGAGCGGTCGGGAAAATGGTCGCGACTGGAAAACTCGCCCTGCGCTGCAGAAAAAGCTTGAGAGGCGGGCTGCGTCAGTCGTGTCATTTGCTGCATGCCCCATTCCAGTTTGTGCAGCTGGAGAGCAGTCCCTGGTCAGGCGCAGCGGCCACAATGGTGGGAGAAGTCGGGCAGGACCGAATTCTCAGAATTCGGCTCAAGGGTTGGCAGGTTTTGCTTCGAGTCGCCCTTTGAGGACCAAGACACAAGCAGAATCGCGAAACTGCGCCAGCTATGCGCATTCGCGACAAGCCGTCTGCGCGAGCAGAGAAGCGGGCTCGGCAGAGGCACGGCATCCTGCGACAAGTCGAGTAAAAGGGTCCGTGTCAGGGTCTGTGAAGCGACACAAGCTTTTAAACTTCAATCGTGGGCTGCGCGGTGCAGCACGGATTGGGTTAGTAATTCACTTTTTGTCTCCCTTGCGATCCGGCATCCTCGACAAGAATGGCTGTTTGTTGTTGACATTCCAGAATCCCGGTCTTTGGGCAGGCGGAGGCGGTGAAGGACCAGTGAATGAGACTGCCAAGAGGAAGGACTCAAGACTCATGCAGTGATGCGGATATATTTGTCCTTGCATGCATGACAATAATAACTGACGGTACCGGAAGGTTAGTAGTGCTGTTTCCCTCGGTATCGAGTGCTGCTGTTGAACTAAGTGAGGGACTCATCTACGAGCTTCTTATTGTCAGTGCTCATCCTAGTCTGGAGACCACCTCTGCATCCGCATGGCGCGGTGAGCTTGTCAAGAGCTTTAAAGAGGCATTCCTTGCTGCAAAAGCGAGCCATGTCTCGGTCTAAGTTATTGAAAGACAGCGACAAGATGCAAAGGCCTCATGAAACATGAGCCCAGAGGTCGCTAGCTGCACCGGCGCGCTGCCAGAAGCAGAAAGTGTGCGACTCACTTCTACTAGTGATGAACTTCATGTATCGCACCGACAGACGCGGCAGTGCAGAAGAGGGCTTGCCGACACGACCGTGCACCTGTTCAAACTGATCACATGCCCGGCTTTCTTCTTGGGCCCAGCAGCACCCCCTCAGCACTTCCGCACCATCTCAGCCATGGACTCAGGTAGGGACCGCTAGCAGCGTGCTAGCGTGGTACAGGTACTAGCAGTGTCTGGTACGCTGACTACTTGAGCAGTGCACCCACTTGATGTTGTTGCGGGCATAGCATACGATAAGCATAGTGAAATAAGGTATTGTGTCGCTTACTATATTCTACTTCTACTACTGCTCCTAATGACTGCTCCTACTGCTCCTACTCCTACTGCTACTCCAACTGCTACTGCTACTGCTTCTCCTCCTGCTACTCCAACTGCTACTGCTACTGCTTCTCCTCCTGCTACTCCTCCTGCTACTGCTACTGCTGCTGTTACTGCTGTTGCTACTGCAGCTGTTGCTGCTGTTGCTGATACTACTACTACTACTACTACTCCTCCTCCTCTTCTTCCTCCTCCTCCTCCTCCTGCTGCTGCTGGCTTACTACCACTGCTACTTCTGTCGCTGCTCCCACGTTTCCTGATACTGTTACTATTGCAACTGCTGTTGCTCTGGCCGAGGCGAAAAATCATTACTGATGCTATGACTTCTGCTTTTGCTCCTCCTACTACCTCCTGATCCTCTCATAACAACAACTACTATTACCTGACAAAAAACTATTGCTACTACTTCTTCTACTTCTGCTTCCGCTTCTACTTCTACCACGACTACTACTACCGCTACTACTACTACTACTACTACTACTACTACTACTACTACTACTACTACTACTACTACTACGACGGCTATTGCAATTGCTATTACTAGTACTACTTCTGCTACTACTACTACTACCACTACTACTACGAGTTCTACTTCTTCTATTCCTACTACTACGACGGCGACGACGACGACGACTACTACTACTACTGCTACTTCCTCCACTGTTGCTGCCAGCAGAAGCAGACGACCGCTGCGACGCGGGTGACAGCCAGAATTATACTTGTTGCTGCCGATACACTACAGTCAATGTCATTGATGCTGACGGCGATGGTTACAATGAAACAAGCGAGACTGACGCCACCAGCAACCATCCAGTGGGCGATAGCTGTGACGGATGCCGAACTTCATGAAAAGGTTTGTTGCATGTACAGTAGGAATAATCGCAATCGGCCAAAGCATACCACGATAACGATAACGGCACTTGTTGCTACGGTTTCTCCAGTTCTGCACAGGTATTGTTGCCAAAAACTCCTCGTGCGGCCAAGGACGTCCCGCCCGACAGCCATGGCCTCCCAGGGTGCCACGCTGCAAAACTACAACAACGAGACTCGATGCAACTCAATTCCTTCAGCTGTACATGTGCAGTGGGAAGTGCTTGTGGACTTTGCCGATGTGCCAGAGGAGCTGGTGAAGTCGATTGAAGATCTCCGTGGCTCAGCTTGTGTGCTCGCTGCCACGGTGGCTGCGGCAAGAGCATCTGGAATCTTGCATTGTCGCCAGTACTTGCATAGGATCTGTGCGAGTCCAATGTAAGGTGAGAAGCGTGAAGAGCTCAACCGGCAGATTCTGAAGGCCTGCAAACGCCTGCCATCTCTAAGCGTTCAAGTTGATGTTTGTGGTGTTGTTGGTTGTCAGGAGGAAGAGGACAAAGCAAAGATCCAGAAGGAGCTTTCCATCCTCACTGACCGCACTTTTGCAGCACTGTCATAGTCTTGCCGAGACATGTTTGTTGGCCCAGAGTCTGTTGAGCACCTGGCACCTGATGAACTCTGGTCACGAGGTAGTGCAACCGATACTGCGTGCACTGGACTTCTAGGCCCTCCATTCTGTGTGCACGCAGACAAGGCTTGCAGAAGATCAACGAAAGCCTCGTTCGCAAGACTCAGGCCCGCTTAGCCACGGTTCTATTTGAAATTTGGGAAGCATGAGCTGGAAGTTGTGATGCCTGACGGAACATGGCCTCCCCGTTGTGATCAAACCCGTCAGGCCCGGAACGAGTACGACAAGACCATTCAAGAGACGGAGGCGCAATTTTGGGTAGCAGCAGCAAATCTTCAGCATGCATCCATCGTTGGGGACTGGCATTGGCCACTTGCTCTTCAAAATGTGCTAGCAGTGAGTTGATGCCCGAGGATTCTTAAGCCTGGTTCGGTCTAAAGCAGATTGACATCACAGACGGGTCTCCCTGACATTGCCCCTCGCAAGCTCTAGATGTTATCGCGGTGCCAGGCCGCGTACATGAAGATTTTGGAGTCGTCGCAGACCCTCCTGCACGTGCTGAAGCGTGAGACGGTGAACTTGACCAAGTACTGGGCTCAGACTGTTGCTTCAGACAAACGCAGATGCACGGACGGAGACATTGACCGAAGAGAACATCATACATGCAACCAGGAAGAGGTGGCCATCGAGACTTCCTGTTTAAGATCGGAATGCCGGTGCATAGGGTTATCGCTGCTGTCGTGGGCGTGTTTGTTTGTTGTTCTGCCATGCACTGATTTCATTCGCAATGTGCTCAAGTCGTCGTTGGCATTGTCAGTTCTTTCGGATCAGATCTGTTAGCCGTGAGACTTCGTGGACATTAATGGCCCGTGCCGGCCCCACTTTGCTTATCATGGAATCCGGTGGTGGTAGACAGTACCAAAAGCACTTCAAGTAGTGGTCAAAGAACCTAGCCGCAGCAGCAGGAGCAAGAGCAGGAGCAGCAGTCGTGCTTGTAACACTCGTGATAGTGGTGGAAGAAGTAACTAGAAGCAAATAGTGGTCGTTGTCAATTTGGTTGTGCTCCCTGTTGCACCCTAAGCATCGTCAGGGCCTTTCATTCTGCATACCGTACAACTGTATTAAATGCCCCGAGTGCAGACATGCTAAAACAGGGCGCATGGTGAAGTCGAGCAGCTCTGCCGATCCGAGGAAGAAGGGCGAGCAATGAGCTTGAGCTTCTCTTGGCAGACGGACTTTAATGATATTGAGGCTGCTCATGAGACAAGCACGAGGCATGCGGATTTCCCCTGATAGCCATTACCAGAGATGAGAGGCGGAACAGCTGCAGCTGAGCAAAATCTCGCACAGGCATGCTCACCACGGAGTCCGTCTGAGCTGAGGTTTCACACTCTCTTTTTGCCAGCTGCCTGCCAAAGCCAAGCTACGCAGTTTCTATGGTCAACTTGTAGGGCTTCGTACTGTGGTTTGGGCACCCACCGGCTGTTCCATTGCAGCTGAGCACTGAGCCTTGTCTCTACTACAGCCCAAAAGGGCTGCTTGAGCTCCAGGATTTGTTCGCCAAGTTTGATGCAACGTCGCATAACTGAGTATCATCGTTTGCCTCTACTTCTGGAAAAGAAGCATGAAGCTTGGGGGACTCAGAGTTCACTCCTACGCTGCACCAATGAGCTTTGGTGACTTTTGCATTACAGCGCGTGGTGCAGTGGTAGGACCTGACGGTCCGCAATTTGGCCTGCATGTTGCCAAAACAGGACAAGTCCGACAGTCACACCGACGTCTCGCTTGACTAAGCACGAGTTCCATGGCTTCATGGCTTGTGTGTTTCGCTCCTTGCCGCGCATGTCCTGAATCTAGAGACTTGGGATGCATAAGTGTTTGTTGCGACCTGGTTGCCGGCCTTGTAAGCCATACTCTGCCTACTAACGCGCACTAATTCACGCCCGATCAAGCTGGCGTAAATCCAAGTTGTTATTTGCGTCTGCCTGAGTCGGTGCGTAACCTTTTGACTTGCACTTGCGGCCATGGCAGCGGCAGAAGAGGGCAAAACAGATCTGGCCCATGCCCTGGAAAAGCTCTTGCGTCGGCCACTGACCAGCGAGGACGTGGCATATGACACTTCTGAAGACATAAATGCCTTGGAGCCATCCTTTCAGTCGTCTGTGACCGTCCGACTGGACAAGCGCGAGTTCACAAGGCAAGCTGCAGGTCACTCGGCAGCCAATTCGCAGCATAACGCTGCCATGAATCTCTTGAAGGATTGGGCCGAAGTCCAGGCCCACGCAGACGCAAGCCAGGAGAACCCTGATGTAGCTCCGGCAGAAGAAACGCCGGCAACACGCACAAGCGAAGGAGCCACATCTGTGGAGTCGGACGGCCGGTCGGTGGATTACAAAAGCATGTTCTCGAAACTCATGCAGAAAGTGTTAGGCCGTTCGGCAACAAAAGACGATGTACAGTTTCAGACTGTGGAGCTGCAGCCTCAGAGTCAGCAGAGCAAGCCGATCTTCCAGTCTACGGTGATTCTGAAAATAGGCGCAAGCGAACGATGGACGTGCGTTGGAGAGGCAGTCTGCGGTCAGAAAAAGGCTGCCGAGCAGAACGCAGCCCGGAAAGCTTTGGAGGAGTGTCCGGAGCTCAAGCCGCTCTACGGGGCGATGTTCATGCCCACCCCAGACGACCGGAGCGTATGCCCTGCCTTATCAAACGATGACACCGCTGAGATTCCGGACATGACGGCGGCAGACGACCGCACTGCATACCCAAAAGCCTTGTCAAATGATGACACCACTGACAGTCCGGACGTGACGGATGGGCTTGCGGGTGACAAGAGGATAGAGTACGAGGCCGCGAAGCCGGCGACTGTCCAAGTGGTCTCTGAGGAGGCGCTGCCCGCTGCTTGTCAGCAGACGTGGCCCGGGCATTCGCTGCGCCGTAGTAGCGACGATGCGACAGTCAGCTTAAGAGCGAAACTTTCACTGGATACATTTTCTTTGACTATCAGCGATGAGCCATGCGTAGGATGTAGACGACCACGAGTATCTCAGGAAGATCTCAGGCTGCGCTTGTCACAGGAGGCGGGGCGTCTCTGCCGAACTGCCCGGCAATGCTTTGATGCTCTTGTTGCAATCGTGGTCGTTTCTGGCAGGAGGTGCGCATTCCGCACGATCTCGCTGAGCTGACAGAAGTCGAGGTAGAGGACGCGATGGTTGGACTGGCGCAATGGTTGCCCTTCGTGACGATGGGAAATCGAACCCGAATTCCCGCCTCCCAAACTTGCCAACGAAGCCGCCACGACAACCGCCAGACCCCACAGAGGCTTGAGCATTGTATTGCTTGTCTGGCAACCCTGTAGATTCTATTTTGATGCCTCCGAGGGCAGCTGCCCGAAGTGTTGCAACCTGCCCGAATTCCACTTAAGAACCTATGGCCTGTGGGGGCCGAGGGAAGCTGTTCCCTAAGATGCTCCTCCTCCTGAGAACAGGACAGAGAAGCCGCCATTTCGGCCTTTCTTGCCAGGAGCTGGGGAAAGGTTTGAAGCTTGGAAGCATTGCCCGCCTCCGACGCCTTCATCGAGGCAGGCCTGTGCTCATGGTCGGAGCTTCAGCATTGTGGAGCTCCGTGGAACCCGGATCGGATCGTGTTGGGATCTTGATATGGCGAGAGGGAAGATGCATGCTGCGAAGCGGTCCTGGCGTTGGTAGACGGCAATGTAGAGCAGCAATTCTGCTTTGCAGGCTGTCGGCGGACTTCCTGACACGGTCTCTCCCAGTTCACGATAAAAGTCGTGCAGCAAGTGAAAGCAAAGGCTTCAAGAGCGCCGATGTGTGCAGCAGCAAAAGCAAAACTACTGCCACCTGTGTTTGAACAAGCAGCAAGTTGGCAAGAGCTGTCTAGCTTATATTACGCATGGAAAGCAATGCGCATTTGAGCTGTCGGAGGCAAGCCGTCCTCACTTTGCATGCGGAAGGCCCGATCCTGCAGAGCGTGCCTGTGTGCATGTGTCTGTGCCATGCATTTGCATGCATCTGACTGTGCATGTGCTTTGCTTGTCTCTGTTTCTGTTCTGTCAATATACTTTTGGCATTATTTTGCATGACCTCGTGTTGATATTTCTTTGGACATTCATGCGTGAGCAAGTTTCCGGAGGTGGGTGCTTTTTGTGTTCATGTGTGTGTCTCTGTTCATGCGTCCTGACATCATAGCTTGTTAAGGCGCGTAGGCTAAACCCCAAACCTTTGAGGAACCGAACTAGGAGTGGGGTATGTGACACCTTTTTGGGTGTAGGAGCTGCTGTCAAGCTAAGCTCGTCTATGGTTTGAGAGTTGTTGTTGGGCGTGTAGCAACTGGGCTTGACGGCGACGCCTCTTGAGTGACTCGACTTAAGGACTGCGAGCTAGTCAACTTGTATCGCAACAGACCTCGCCAAACTTGCCAGAAGTTGAGCGTCAAAAAGCTCCGATAAGCCGGCATTTTGAAACGAGCCTCGCTGATATGCACAAGGCCCGAACTACATTTCTGAAGTAAGCTTCTGGGTGTGAGTTGACATCTTTGTGTTTTATGAGGTGGGTGCCGCATGCTAGTTACTAGTTGCTGTTTCGTGTTGTGCCCATTGTTCGCTCAAGCTCCAACATGGGGCTGTAGCCGGGGGAGGAGGGACGGGGCCGGCATGAGAATTAGCCAGCACAAACTATGACAGGCACATGCACAACAGCCAGTTGTCGTGGAACGACAGATCAGAGAGCAAGACTACACGTGCTACAGATGGGTGAAAGAGGGGATTTTGGGACATGTGCTGAATTCGCACCCTGCTTTGCGGTGTGGCACCTCCAAAGGAGGTTCCAGCGCTGGCAAGGTTTCCAGCTGCGTGAGTAGCCGAGCTTGGCAAGAAGAGGTAGTGACTCAGCAGGAAACTGCAGACCATCGCTTGCATCGAGATAATGTCACTCGGCAGCTGGAAGTGCAATGGATGCCATGATGGACTTTGAGAACGAGCCCGAGGCCTTTTGTCAGGCTTTTCAAGCAGGCTCTTAGCTCACACTGCACACCTTGCTAGTCTTTGTCCGAGAGCAGTCCGAGAGTGAGTGTCAAAAAAAGTCACATGCTGGCTGCAGGTTGACTCGATATGGCATACTTCTCCAGGAGATCATGACCACGACGAGCATGAGGGAAGGAACCTCGGCCTATTTCATGTTTTGTTACTCATACGATCATGGTTGTCGACAGCCCTTGCCTTGAGAAGCAAGTGGTAAGGGGGTAATGTACTCAGGCGTCGGTCGATGACATCAGCCGAACATGCACGACATACCCTGGAAGTCTTGATGGCGCAGGCTGATGGGTTTTCGCACTACAAACTTTGGACAGTGGCTTCAATTGAATGATCGCCTGTCTATGCTGGGATAGATGATTATCGTCATAAAGAGAACCCTTCGAAGTCAAAGCGTGGACTTTCCAGAGGCACCAAGGAAAGCGTGAAGTCTTCCAGAGCATAGGTTGTGAAAACCTGTAAGAGCCTGCGCATCTCAGGCCTTTTGAACATGTTTGAAGAAGATTGCGGCAGGATGTCCCAGAATTAATGGTGTTGAGCATGTATCACATTCCCTTTGAGCCATGCCTGTGCTCGTGCACTTGCTGGTGCTGCTCTACTTGCCAGCAGAGGGGGATGCTTGCCTCGCAGAGTTCAGCGGCAACCCTCAATTCCACGAGTATTCTGGATATGCCTTCAAAGTCGCACGAAACGAGCCGATCCCTGAGTCGGTGCAGGAGTATTTCTACATGAAACATGACCCGTATGTTGTGCAGCTTACCAAGTACGCCAGATGGACGCATCAAATGTTAATGGCCTGCTGGTCGGTTGAAGGTCGTGTTTGGGAAGTCCGGCTATTTTTGAATGAATCGATGCGTGCTGCAGACGGCACGGCGGGTTTGCACACCGCCGTCTGCGCACCACGAAGCTGCAGGCCCCATCAGGTTCTGCAGCAGCTTGCAATCAAGGTCATTACTCAGGACCTTGATGCCGTATCTCCTACCCGACTGCAGGGGGAAGTCCGGCCTTTATCAAGTTGGAAATTCGTGAATCTCAGATTTGCCATTGTGGGCATGGGGGGCTGTGGCACTACTTCGCTGCAGAAGAACATCAAGCAACATCCAGAAATTCGTTTCTCTCGCAAGGATGACCACGAAGAGACTCTGTTTGCACCCGGCTATATTCATGAATACACCGGGGGCTTCAGAATGCTGCCCACTGAAACACAGGTCAACTACATCAACTGCGGCAAGGCAAGATGTCAACAGAATGAGCCTCGGTGGAAAGAGGGGTCCGTGCACATACCAACATGTTCAACGATGTAAGATAACCATGCACAGTGTTAACCGCAAGTGTGGTTCTGCTTGTGGCATGCACGTCGAAGCCTTCAGGATCTTGATGCGAGGACGAAGCTTGGACTCAAGAACTACATGCTGCACAATTTCGACTTTGGCTTGGCAACGTTATCTCTCATTGATAATCTTGTGGTGATCGCAGTGGTATGTGATCCTCTGGATCGTCTGGAAAAGGCCATGTTCTGGAGCTATTGTCAGTTCGAAAACACCACGCAATGCAGCAGTGGACACATCTTCGACGAGCTTCTGCAAAACACAACTGTCGCTGATCTAGTGGAGCGGAGCCGTTTCTGAAATTCAGAGTCGTCTTTTTTCGTTGATGCAGCCGGGTTAATCCGGCTACGTATGGAACCTTATCGCAGACTGAGGCACCGTGAGCATTGGGTAGCTGCGGAGCGGATCCGAGTTCTCTTTACTTTGTTTGAAAGGCGTACCATTGTGGCACACAAGTCTTTGCTGCGCGATCGTCCCCAACAGCTTTATGGGCTGCTTTTCAAGAGGATCGGGGTGGGACCGCCGGCGGCGGGGACGCAGTACCATCGTTACAACTCCGTCGGCGGGGAGAGAACGGGCCTTTGTCGAAGGAAGAAGATCCTGGCTGAGTTTCAAGTGCTTCGGCTGAACATTTGGTTAGGCTTTCCAGCAATGTGCTGCCACTGTCTGCTCTGCTGCTGCATAGCATAGCATGGCGCAAGAGTATCAGATAGGGCAAGCGCAATGCGAGGCAGAGCTTGAACCCGAATACCAACAATTGGAAGATATGCTCCGAGTGCTGGGCCATCCAGCTATCCGCGAGTTGGAACGACGAGAAACTCGCTGCAGCCGTCCACGTGAGCTCAGAAGCAGACGGTGCATCAACCAAAGATGTGAGTAGAAGCTGCGTCTGTGGTCTGTGCCAGAACCTCGAGATCGCGAGAGAGTAAGAGAGAGCTCAGAGCTCAGAACAGCCTTAGTGGACACGCACCGACAGGGCTGGCGATTTGGCTGTATGGACCCTCGACTCGTCTCAAAACACAAACGGTGCATCCTGAAGTGCTTGGACAAGGAGAGAGATCGCAGAGATGCAGCTGCGGTGACGACCCATTGCCATAAGCCATAAGCAAGACTCCGGACCACACCGAGCAGGCAGCACCTCAAGGAGTTTGTTGACATTCTGTCACGAGCACACAGTGCTTTGCAGAAGTGCGAGTGATAAAAGCCCGCTGTAGCGAGTGCCTTTCGCATCAGTGTCAAGAAGCTGCCAAAGTCGAGCTCAGAATGGCAGTAGGAGCGTGAGACCAGAGAATGCCTTTGCTAGGACGACGCCCCGAAGAAGAGCGCCGTGGACAAGCTGTCACTTAGCGGAAAGCGTTTGTCAGTGTCTGCCACATACTTTAGTAGCCTTGTCCGATGGTGGAAACGGGATGATCAACCCTGCTCGTTGACCCTTGTCTGGGCCTTGTCAGAAGTTTAGGAAATCGGACAGGATCTATTGTTGGCCAACATCTGAGGCACGACATTGCCCTTGAGGCGGGCTGCGAGACAATGCTGAAGGCATGGTTCCAGCAGCTTGGATCAACGTCATCCCATGCACAGTTCTGATCCGTAAACTGTCGAGCGGCCACGCCAGGACTGCCCTCATCTAAGTCCTATGTTTGTCGGTGCAATGCAACCTGAGTACGCTCAGGTTCCTCGACACGGATCACAGTGGACGTGCCCTGACTCAACTACAACTGTAGGCTCCCAGAGCACAGTGCAGCAATCGGGCAGCGTTCTAGTTACTGCAACGATTCCAAGATATTAGAAGCCTTTGTCAGACTTTGCCTGAGCTGGAATTCGCAAAGGCGGACCCTTAGGCTACCGGTGCCATGCCCGATGCACAGCATCGGCATTTTATGTTGAAGCATTGGATTCTGGACGTACGCGCGTCAATCTGACGTGAATACGTGCATGTTATGTGTATTCATAACCCAACCCTGTCTCCCTCTCTCTCTTTGTCCCTTCGTCCAACATCGTTGGCCTGCAGTCAGACAGTGTCGTCCACGATCTCCGGGAGCAAGCCTGGTGCCGCCATCGATGTTGCCAGTGTCAAGTCTTGACTCTTTGGTTTCTGGCGCCACGCCAACAATGGTAACCTCCTTGGGTCCTTCATCTAATCTGAACAAGTATTGATCTGGTGCCCCCGCCGTCTAGTTTGACTCTCTCCCAGTCTCGAGAGGCATTGACTACACAGAATTTGACAAGGGCCTCAAGGACGCTCTTGCAACTTGCACAGCGCATGTGCCTGTTGAGATGATCATTGCCAACAGCCCTTCTTTTTGTCGTGGGCCTGTGCAGCTACTCTTGCATGCGTGACAGACCGAGCTGTCCTTTCAGTGTGACATGGCCAGGACTTGAAGTTCACAGGAGGCCCGAAGCAGACCCATAAGCTGTGGCAGGACCGGCCACTGCATCAGTGCCCTGGTATTACTGACAAAGCAGCGCAGAGGTGAAGCTGAGCATCGTTGTAGGAGTTGGACGACGACATGTCTGGTGCAATATCCTTTGACGAGTTCACTCGGCCGGAAGAGGTGCCTGCGGCTTCCCGTGGAATATTGTGCTGACGCCGTGTTTGCGTAGCAAGCAGCACCACCACCTTTACCACATCAGTGATGAACCTCTGCAACGCAACCCGCATCTGCGTTCACCTGTGTGAGTTCAGGTTGCAGTTGGCTTGCTGTTGCAACACCGTTCGAAACCTGCATAAATCGGTATCCTGCTTAATCTGCCATGGCATTTGTTCTTTACGCCTTCTCGGCCGACTTAAAGTCACGCCTTACTCAACTATCGGATTCAGCATCAATCTTGTGTTATTGTTTTCGATGCTCAAGTCGTTGATGTAGGTACGCTTTCGTCAACTACACGTAGACAGCATCCACACGGGCTTTATGTGTTGAGCCGTTTGTGATCAGTATCATCATCGCCATTTGTTCGTATTTCTCGTTGCTCGGGTATCGACATGTCGTTCACAGTTCGCACTGCACAACAGCGAATCCACTACTGCATCGTCTCCGCTCCTACCCCAGCCGCGGTAAGGACTGCTCTTGCCATAGCACTGTCAACGTATCGTGTGAGCTTACAAACATTGCCGCTCCTGAATTTGGCTGTGCTTCTTGCGCGATGTCGGCTAAAGAATTCCCAACATGTTAAGTCACATGGTAGTCGCTGTGATATTCGAAGCATTTAGAAGCTCCTACGTGAGAAGGAAACGGGTAGACTTATCGTGATGAGAGGTCGCCATCATGAAGCAGTAGTCGTGGTGGTCGTCGTCGTGGTCCTAGTGGTGGTGGTTGGGCTGGTGCTAATGGTAGTGGTAGTGCTGGTGGTGCTGGTAATCGTAGTGGCAATGGTGGTAGTGGAAGTGCGAGTAGAAGTAGTAAAAGTAGAAGTAGTCGGACTGGAAGGAGTAGTGGTGGTGGTACTGTAGTCGTCTTCTTAGTCGTAGTCGTCGTGGTGGTGGTAGTAGTAGTCGTCGTCGTAGTAGCAGTAGCAGTAGCCGTGGCCGTGGCCGTAGCAGCAGCAGTAGGAGCAGGAGCAGGAGCCGGGAGCAGCAGCAGCAGCAGCATCAGCAGCCAGTAGCAGTTGCAATAGTAGTGGTCGTACTAGCAACAGGAAAAGGAGCTGCTGCAGTGGCCGTTGCCGTAGTAATAGCTCAGCAGTAGTAGACATGTGCATATAGTGAGTTAATGCCAGCTACTGGAGGGCTGGTGGCGTGTCTGGAACTGTACTAACAGGATAGCTAGCTGTGCCCCGGCTGTCAGGCAGAGCTGTGGCGGTCTTTTTCCAAATTTGTTGGCTCCACATTTGCCGGCACTAAGGAAACTTGGCCGCCAACCATAAGGGCTTCACAGGTTTGGGGCTCAAGAGAACAATTCCGTTATTGGAATTTGTTTGGTGAGCATCGGGGATCACAGTCCAGGGCTCTTCCCGTCAAAGCTGGTTCTCTCTCAATCCTCGTTCGCTCTTTCTTGCTGTCGAAACCCGCAGATCCAGCGTGCGCGGTGACAAAGTGTTGTTTCTGTGGCGTCAAGACCCCCTCTTCAACGATATGTTCATGTCTGGATTGTTGCCCTGCGAAAACACTTTTTGTGCTCCAGCTTCACAGGATTCGGATGGATGCAGCCGATTTCGTTTCAGTCTTAGGCCGGACTGCGAAGACTGCATATATTGCTTCTCACAACATTCTGATACTAGACCTGTGTCTGGCAGTGATGGCCCATCCGGGGTGTGCATGCGAAGGGCATCTTTTCAATCCAGCCTACCCGGTCGTGTCTAATAGTCTAACATGGTGCGAAAAGCAGTCGCCGAAAACTGAACTGGATAGTCGAACATCTGCCTGGAAGTGCAAAGACATGTCGCGATCCCGTGGAGAGGCCCCACAGCGGCCATGGTTTGACGCATGGATGCGCGGTCAAAACTAAGGACATGCTCCGACGGCTCCAGAAGCATTATGCGGATTCCAACGGCATGGAGAAGGCTGTGGACAAGGCTCATGACTCATCATCCCGTTGCAGAGCGGCTCCCCGTGAGCTAAGCAGGCCGTTCAGAAATGGGCAGTCATGAGCCATCCGTGCAGGCTCTTTCCGAGCAGGAGTTCTGTGAAAGCCTCGCTGCATTTGGTTGGAGTGGAGGCAGGCGTAACTGACTGATTATGTTTTGTCTTGTCGATCGCACCACCTCTACTACCATGCCTCCACCCCTACTACTGCTCTGGGGCGGCCATCGCTATTTTCGATCGCTACAAATACTGCCGGATCTGCGCTCTTGTCGACCACCTATACAGATGGGAAGCTGATTGATCAAACCGTAGTCTCTCTGACCGTAAGACTGTTACACTGGGCCGCAGAAGCTGTTTTGCTTGTGACGGTCGCTCCTGTCAGAAAGAGATCTTTCCCTCCACACTGCGACTATGTAGCCCAATGGATTTGCATGATTAGTTCCCACGCATAGCTCGGCCAGGCCAGGAGAAGATGTTTTTCGATGCTTTCGCAATGGAGAGCGAGAACGAGGCTGGCTGTGGGCCCTGAGAGTTGGACACTGGTTGGACATATTAATGTGGGTTTAGCTGTTTAGGTAGTGTTGGTGCTGCGCGCCCATGGTTTGAAGAAACCGATTGGGCGTCCTGAGATTCTGGCCAGCACACATCGCAGGTAGAACGGTGCCTTGGTAGCCTATTTAGTATGCTGCAGCACAGTTTGTACTGGTAGCTTGGATTAGCTCGTCTGCTGCAGGTGCGCTGCATCTATGCCAGGGGCATGAGGCGAATCTTCCGCATGTGCCACCATGCCCCCACACGAGCCGTAGAAGGGTCACATGAGGTTCGCGATGCTGTTGCATGCGAGCGGAACCTCCCCAGAGCATTCCAGAACGATGAAAAGTGACACGACCTGCCTCTGCATCCAACCAGGACCCGTCGCTTCCTCTGTTTCTTGGTCCTGCCGCAGGTGGGTTGACCGCGAGGTCAAGATGTTCAAGCTAAAGCAGGCGGCAAAGAAAAAGGCTGAGAAGATGGCAGGCTGCATGGCTACATGAGAAATAGCACCGTGAGCCCCCTAGAACAAGCGACACTGCCTGCTTTGCAAGTCAAGTCTCGTGCCAAAGTCGATTGAGGCTGTTAGCTTCCTAGACAAGCCATGAAGGCAGCGACAGTGCAGGCCACGAGACCTGACACCATCGAGGATTGGTGTATTCTGGTGCCACATCTGCTCTCACAGAAGGGTTGGCAGACCCTCGTACAGAAGCCGTCGGCCGCGCTCCTCCAGTCCAGCAGTCGTTGGGGTGACACCTTGATCAAGGTCCTGCTTCAGGATGTTGTTGTCCTAAGTCCTCCAGAAGATCCTGCCTTCTTCTTGTCTCGGCCTGAAACACGAGCGTGGAGCTGTGCGTATCGCCCTGATCCAGTCAATGAGGAGGTTCGTGAAGTGAGGAAGCTGCACGCTCCCGGGACATGCTTGGAGATCTTCTGGGCGGACTGGCCATGGATCCGGCTGTGTGACACTTTGTTTGGCATCCTGCACTCGCAGCACAGGCTCGGCACCTTATGTTTTGGGCATTCCGCACTACCCGTGACAACAATTGAACGGGTAAGACGGAACTATCCAGATAAGGGAGACTGCTCTCTCACTTGGAGGGACCAGAATGACCTGAGCGAAGCCTTGGCGTGCATGTTGCTGTGTCGACTGCAAGGGAATGGGCACTATACGGTACATTTTGTCATGGGGACGTCATTGGGCTTTCAGATGCCCAACTGGGCAGCTGATGCTATTCGGCTGGTACTAGATGCGTTCAGATGCGAGGCCATTCGCCATTTCAACAGGCCACAGCTTACCCTGGAGCGGGAGAGGGATAGGACACTCTACATGGTGCTCAGCATGACGAGCTTCGGTTTGAGGCTACCCATGATCCCTTTTCTGGGTGCAGAGACGGGCGAGATGGGGCAGCTGACCGATATCAAGGCTGGCCAAGAGTTGGGGTTCTCAACGTGGATCCCATACGATCCTGTCATGGTGGGCAGTGGTGCGTTCCGCTTGTCGGAGTACCTCTGCCTGTTCTTCCGAAGAGCCGGTGTGAATGTAAGCGTGTATCAATCCCTGGATGGGCAAGAATTACTGCCGTATCAGTGTGTGGTGCAGCGGGAGGAATGGTACGCGGCCAGAGCTCGTTTCAAGGCAGTGTTTGCTTTGCAGAAGACTGCGTACCGACGTGCCAATGGGCGAACAGCTGTACCGAGGATTGTCGAGGAGTGCGCACCGCGCTTTTGTCGTGAGGTGGTCGGAAGCTCTTTGAAACAGGTTAGACTGCAATCGGATCTTTGTGAGCTAGTGCACAAGACTTTCCGCGAACTCCCAGATGGTGTCGGATTTGGTAGCGGCTTTGCACATGGAAGACGCTGTCGCACATTATCACCTGTGCGGTGAGGCATGCGGGAGTTGCCAGCTGTGTCACCACTCGGGGCTTGACTTCGGGATATTGAATCACAAATCTCAAATGTCTGTGCACACTGCACACCCATGTAAAGACGTGATTATTCCGGGCCGTTTCCTTGCTGCATGGCATAAGCAACACCTCCGAGGCTGTACAGGCCCTGCCAGGGTGATTTGAACGGGGGATGCCGAGCTTGGTGCCTCGCAGCTCGAACAGCGCGGGAAGGGTGCGCGATGCTGAGTATTGTGTACACCTGTGTACAAATCTGTATGCAAGTTCGCAGCATACAGCGTGCACCCGTGCGATGCCAACCGGTCAGATGGTGACAAGTGGGCATTGGCCGTTCGCGAAAAAGGACACGTTGGCCCGTGGCAGCGACGGGGACCAGGTTCCCGCAGCGTCGTCGGTTGTGCCACACAGCCCCAAGAGCCATGTTTAGGGGGTATATAAGGATATCACAATACGGCATCCTGGACGTGTAAGTAAGTTTTGGGCTACAGCTGCACACTTAAAAGATTTTGTCATCAGCTTCGGTGCAAGCACAGGGCTGATGTCACGTACATAACGACGACTCAATGAATCCACTAAGGCACGTCGATGAGACGTGGCTTCGTTTTGTTTTGAAGATGCACTATCCCAAATTTCCATGTGTCGTTATCGCTGGACCACCCCGCTCCTGAGGCATCCGTGTTAGAAGTGCTCATGAAGCGCGAGCGGCGCTGAAGAGCTTTAAGGCCGCTTTGCTGCATGTGCATGTGCATGTGCCTGTCGCCACAGCACCTCTACTCTACACTCTACATTAATAGCTTTGCGGCCCCGAGGTCCGGAGTCCCCGGTCCCAAATCCAACATGCCACCAAGCTCAGCGCCAAGGCTTTCCTGAAAAAGCATTTCGGCAACATGCTGAGAGCCTGGAGAAAGGCACGGAGCTTGAGCAGACGACAAAGACCTCAAACTCTGCAAGCTTGCCTCAGGCATTGGATGTCGATGGCTCCATGACACTTCAGCGCTCTGAACTTTTCAAGGCGCCTGTTACATGACTGTTAGGTTGGAAGGTCCAGGCCACATATTTTCGATTGACATGTTTTCATGACGAAGTCCAGTGTCATGGGCTGTTTATTGACCTGTTGCCCCTCCTCGGGGTCAGTGCAGAGGCGGTGAAGATGTTGAACTGGAAGGGCAACTGCCGCGCCTTGTGGCAAGCACTCGATCATGATGCAAGTGGCATCACTACTATCGAGGAGCTGCTTAGCTTTGTGACACCTCTAACTTCACCAATGTGGGCATTCTTGATTATATGCCTATCTCACGGCGACACAGGCAGCCCAGCAGTGCATGAGAAGCCGTGTTAAGCAAGTCAACCTTTCTGGTAACCTAGGTTGGATCCTCAATCTGCACAGTTGCTGGCTTATTTCCGCGAGTGGGCCTTGAAGACGAGCCCCTCGAAGAGGCAGCTTCGGCGAGAGTGCTGGGTGGAGAGCCTGTGGTATCTTCGAGAATCGGAAGCGTACCTGCTATTCGGAACAAAGGTCAGGTAATGGATGCGGTTTTTGGCTGCGCCGGCTTCATGTGCACTTACTACTGTCGGAGCACGCGTCGCAAACGATCGCAAAGGAAGCTTTTCGAGCCAGAGAGCCAAGCATCGCAAGGGAAGAATCGCCATACTGGGCCCTGGGCCACACTCATCATTTTTCTTTGCGCCCGATGTGTGAAAGACGTGAGAGCGGCATGCTGGCGGTGCCGCAAGGCCAAGTGAGGCTTTCGAGGTGCTGGACCGGTTTCGCCGCAAGGCTGCAGTGGTCCGGAAAAATTGCTCGGCTCAAACCATCGAGGTTTTCTTGAGTGGGCCTTCTGCAAGAGAGCGGCTGCTGCCGCCACCCAGGCAAAAAAAGGTTGACCCATGCTGAGTTCCTCCAAGACACTTGGCTGCCGTGTTGGTGCAATGTACCCAGGCTGTCAGCGCAGCCATCATGTGTTATGTAAGTCGTGCAGTATGCGTTGCCGATGCTGGTCTGTCCTACTTGAGACGGCTACTACCCCAAAGATCCATCGCAAGTGTGCAGGCTGCACAGCTGCTTGTTTTGTACTGTGTTGCTCGATGATGTTACTTAAATCGAGAAAAACCCATGATCTGAAATCCCGGCGCACAAAATGCTGTGCTTGTTCAGTTCCTGGATCAGCAAAAACAGACCAGGAATTGGAGTCCCATGGCTTTGGCCGAAATGCCAAACAAGTGGCTTCGATTTTAGATTGGCAGGAGAAGCGGCTTGGCAACTTCGTTGTTTCTCCGTAGGATTCAGTTGTGCAAAGTAAAGGAGTCCGCAAGCCATATTAAAGACTCAGACAGCCGGCTTGCAACCGAGTCCTTCATGCGGTTGAGGGTTGTCCTTTGGAGACCTAATAAGCTCTGTGGTGATCAGTGGATGCTTCTCGGGCAGGCACCTGTTCGAGGGGTTATGAGCTTGACTCTGACTAAGGCTTACTTTTCTGGTTTTCTGCCTGGCTAGCGCACCCCCCCCCCCTCCGTCTCTCTCTCTCTCTCTCTGTCTCTGTCTCTCTGTCTCTCTGTGGTTCCTCCCGTTTTTCAAGCGTTCAGTAATGTCACGTGGAGAGTCTCATGTGACCGGAGACATCTCGTGTTCCGCGCAGTGTAACTTGCGAGAACTGCTGAACACTCCAAGACACTGGCTCCGTGAGAGAGCTAAGGAAGCACATCTGCGCCCGTGATTTCGAGTTCATGGACGTCTGGCGAGCCCCCGCGCCTGGGCAGGAGTGGAGGGAAGCCGAGCGTTTCTTCCTTGAAGACTGCGAGGCCTGGCTCACAACTGTTGCCGACCAGGCGGCCGCCGACGCTTTTCGCAAGCAGCCGGGAGCCGCAGCAATGATTGACTCAGTGACTGCAGCCGCCTGAAGTTCTGAAGCTCAACCTCCTGCTTCAAGGCTTGTGGCGCGGCACGGTCACATCCTCAAGGCAGGTGGTGATACGCTCCAGCAGTTGCGAGAAGAACATGTAAGGAAAAGGATGGCCACTAAGCAACAACGTCGTGAGCAACGTCAGGTGGCAAGGGAACAAGCAGGTGTGTCAAGATTTTTGTTTGTGAGGTTGAAGCGAGCAACTCAGAAGTGGAAAGTGTGGTGATAAATATCTGCACACGTCCTCTGGGCATGGCTGCCGGCATACACTCAAGTCCGTGCTTTAGAAAGGCAGGTGGTGCCAAGGCGTTTGCTGCCTTTGCACTTCGCATTCGGCAGGCCTGGCGCTTCGCCATGGACAAGGATTGCTCAAACAGCCTCCCTGACCACATTTATTAACTCGACTGTCTGTCCGAGTCACTGTTTTGGGATTGAGTCGCGGACGAAGACTGATCGGCTATCTCGGACGGAGTGGCGAGTCGTGAAGACTGGTGAAGCCTGCCAGATCTCAGGCTGCAATTGGCACGAATTCCAGGAGGCATCTGCTCGTAGGTCTGCATGCCGTGCCTGGACTTCCTGCCTTTGGTGTCCCCTTCGGTTGGCAGCTGCAAGTTCTCAAAGAAGGCTTCCAAGGCATGTGTGCTCAAGGCTTTAACCGTCGATTAAGGCACCAGCACATCCGCGAAGCCGTATCGGTACTTCACTCAAGCTGGCAGAATGCTCTCCTTGTCACCTAGTCGCCCATCGTGAGGGAGTGTGGCTTAGTAGTGACTTGCTACTCAGACGAGGGCTTTTGATTCAGGCATGTGACCAAAGAGCAAGCCAGATGGGTCTTCGTCGTCTGTCGGCTTCGCTCCGCGACCAAGCCTACATCACCACATGCATAGCGCACTCCAGGGTAACGCCCGAAACAAGCGTAGCCCCACATTATACGGCCCTTCTCTTCGCGAAGAATGCAACATAGCCACAAGCAGTTCTGGCTGTCCTGAGAAATGCGCGGACCGCACCCCCCCACCGTGCATTCATTAAGAAGTTTTGGGAAGCTCAGGATTCATGGAGACCTGTTTGATTGTTCGTGTCCAGCGCCCTACTAGTTGGTTCCGGTGCTGCTCAGCCGACATGGCATGGCACCTCCACCATGTTTTGCCTGTGCATTCCTCTAGTTGCTCATATGTGTATGCATGGATGTGTATGTGGCCACAGCAGACGGCAGAGATGAATGATGCTGCAGGCAGCAAAATTGGTCCGTTTCCATGGAAACTTGGCCGGAGCATGGTTGGCTTTGGATGCAGAGCCTTGACGAGCATCAGCTGCTCCACAGTTGGTGGAATCCTGCTGTACTGTACTGTTCGTTGCTCATGAACTTCTCACTTACCTTGCCCTCGGAAAGGCTGAAGGTGAGATGCATCTGAAGCACCTTAAGCAGGACAGAACAGGTGGGCTCTTTCAGAGGCGTTTGCTGCTTATTGGCTCGAGGGTTCAGGCCCGCGAGTCGACACTGCCTGCGTTTGCACAGCTGGAGCGGGGAAAGTGGTGGCTTGTATGGCGGAAGCCATTGCACCCAAGGATTGCAGTGGCAGCATATCTCTCAAGGCCAGTTCTTAGAAGTGAGGGTTGCGTACATTGCGAGGTTTCGAGCTTCCTGGCAGGCGGCGTGAAATCATGCGTGCTCGCTAAGAACAGCTGTCAGCAGCGCGGGAATATTGAATCTACCGAAGTCTGCGCTCACCCGTGTGTGCGCGCCAAGTCTTCTGTTTTCGTACCTGTCGTTGCATCTGCTGCTATGATGAGCTACCTTTCTTTCTTATTATAGTTATAGTTATAGTATAGTCGGTCCAAAACCCTATTCTAATTATTATGTCCCCGGCGTGCCATGTGGGTGACAAAAAATTATGTCCCCTATATAAACCCCCCTGATTCAGCCAGGAGGTTGACCCTGCACCTTGGCAGCAGCTGGCAGTCGCGCAATTCGAGACCATCGGATGGCTGGCAGAGCTTTGAGTTGATGAATGCGGGATCGGAACGTCTCAGGAAGCTCATGAATGCCTGACGAACTTCAAGACCTGGGCGGATGCAGAGTTTGGCGGTGTAAGGTCTGCTTTTAAGGTGGGAGTCTTGTGCCTCACGGCTGGAGGCTTTGTATGACACGACTGTGACACCCAACAGGTGCTGGATGCAGATGGCTCGGGCTCGTTGAACTTTAAGGAATTCAAGAGTGCCTGCAGGACCATTCAAGTGGCTGCCGTTGCAAATGCCTGAACAGCATAGCCGCAGCTGTCCAGCTGTCAGGATGTATGGCTTCACGGGTGAGTGCAAGCTGGCTGAAGGTGAAATCCTGCCCAGAGCTTCTTTGCAGACCACCCTTGTAAGCGGAAGGGACCGTTGCCATCCTGAGGTAAGAGCTTGTTCCACAATCTGGATCAGATGGGCAAAGGCAGCTTGCAGCTGCACGAGGTATCCTTTCTGGACAACTGGCCCAACGAGGATTCTGGGCTGTCAAGTTGCACTGTTAGGTGAGACTGGGATGCACCAGGCATCGAGGTTCCGGCATGTCGCTTTCGAACTCGGACTTTGAGACAAATCGCCCCCTTGCTTCCACGATAAAACGTTGGTGGTGGCATAGCATACATAAAGCATGGAGTCTGTCGGAAAGCAGTCTTGGCACTTGAAATTGCTTTGCCTTCGTCGGGCAGGATCTTGCGTAATACTGACGTGGAGTCATGTGAATTTGCTTGAGACTGGGTGATCGAGGACTTGGCATCAGAGACTCTTGACTTTGCAAACAGAAAGGGTTTGCCTTCAGAAAGAGCTCTTGAGTGTTTGACACACGAGAGTATGCCCCAAAGAGGGCTCCTGATGTACATATGACGTACCCTCGCCTGCACTGCCCCATGCACTGGAGACCCCTTGGGTCTTGGCTCTTGAGGTCCGAGTTCGGTTCCCTGGACGACGGCGCATCGTCGCGCAGGCCGGATGGGGTACCTAGAAGTGCGCTCTAGTGATTGTTCAAGTGCGAGAGGCGCTATGGAGAAACTGGCGACAGGCTCTTGGAATACTTTACCGAGGCTTGGATGGCACTTGCGGCGGCCAAGGAGAGTCTTTCGGAGGACTTACGAAAGGTGAGATATGGTGAGCAAAAGCTAGAACCTCGCGTTACTCAGGAGAACCCAGGACCAGGAGCCTACGCTGTGCCCAATGGCTTCGGACTCTCGGATCGAAGCCCCGGCAGGCGCCCCTTGGGCCGGGCCCCGGGCACCCCCCGGGCTTTCGGGCCTATTATACCTGGTGTCCTTGCACGCTTTTGCTTGTTTGTTTGAGGTTCGCGTAGATGTAAAAACTAAGTGCTAGCAAGTAGGAGGTGCCTCCATGCTGCGTGCTGTGTCTCACCGCTACGTTGGCCAGAGGTACTGTGGCGCCTTCACTATGCAGGGCCGACACAAGCCGAAGGAGCAGCAAAAGTACATCAGCTCCTGGCTTCATTTTCAATACAGAATAAAGTGATAGCAACGCGGCAGCAGGGCACAGGCAGCTGCAGCTTCGATGTTGAGCCTGCGCCACTTCTGGTGTAGACCCTCGTGCAAAGCATGTGACCCTTGACATGGCATCGCGAGACTACGACGATATGAGCCTTCGTGGAGATCACACGCTCGTAGTGTGGATCGGAACCTTTAAAGCCTTAAAGCCTGCGTCGGCGCTCAGGTCCTGCTCAGTATTCCCCCTGCATGGAGCCGACCTCTCCTAGCAAACCGGTGGGCAGCTCAGGAACTCAGCCTGGGAAAGTTTTGGTTTGCCTCTTCTAATAATCACCTCTCTCTCTCTCTCTCTCTCTTTCTCTCTGGGAATAATCTCTGGGAATAAATTGACAGAGCGGAGCAAACCGTCGAAAGAGACTGGACCGCTGTGTGGCATTTGCAGTCCAACACTGGCTGGGAGCCTGAAACATGTTTCTGGTTCGCTCCAAACGTCCATTACCAGCTACGGACTTTGAAGCTTTCTTCCTGCTTTGTGGATCAAGGCATGGACGTTTAGCAGACGCCCGAAGTCCGCGCAAAAGGCCCAAACTCCTCGTGTGCGCCGGGAGGCTCAGACAGCGCTCGCGACGGGGTCAAGTTAGTTCATGCTTCACAGCTTGCATTTCTACAAAGTCGGATCAGCAGTGTCTCACTTTGCCGACCCCCTGTGGCCGCCTCGGCTCCAGCAAGTGACCCCTGTGACGGCTGTGCTGGCCAGACTGAAGGACTAAGAACGAACTGGATGTGCGTGGAGTCAGTCGCTGCCCAACCAACCAAACCCGTCACAGCAAGAGGAGCATGGAAGCTCCGTTGGACCCTGGGATCTCGCTTCTCTCGGATGACAGCAACCCAGCTTGCCACGGCCTTAACCTTCAAATGCCACCAACCGTTTTGGGCAAGCCATCTTTTTAGCAGCAGCTGTTATGCAGCTTCAACTCTGCCGGGAGTTGTTCAGGCTGTCCAGCCGCAGACGTTGAAGCCTGGCGGCAGCATGCAACCTGTAAGTCGCGGGAACCGCAAAGACGAGTCGCAAGATCAACAGTGCCCTACAGCTTTTGTGGCTCAAGGCTGCCTCCTCTCGAGGAGGACCTTATGCTGTAAACGGCTTGGCCATGCTAAGTAGTCGAGCAGAGTATCTCGCTGCAGTGGTTAATGTGTGATGCACAGCATGTTTCTGGTTGTGGTGTATTCCAGCCTAGAGCCTAGTACTGCTCTGCCATGGACGGTTTCCTCGAGATCATTGACGAGTTTCATCAGCAGCAGCTTGCTCTTGCAGAAGAGCAACATGCGGCACTGCGGCAAGCGGTCCTGAGTCACCTTGAAGGGGAGTCATTGGACGCGAAACCTGTGGCATCTCCGGTTCATGACCCTGCCCGGCTACAGCTGAGTGCAACACAGCTCACCTCACAACCAGCCCTGCAGATCGATGACCCGGACCCGTGCCCTTGCAGCCCTGTAGCCAGCCGCGGAGTGCACCATGGGCCCCCAAGCGACTCTACGCATACCTTTTCTTTCAGCTATACAGTCTTGCCATGCGTAGCCTGTTCGGTTTTGCTGTCGCAAGAGCGAGGTGTGTCCGATCTCGAGCTTCGATTCTCCGTGGATGGCTTTCCTTGTCTTCGAAGGCGGAATCGGAGAAGATGCTGCCCCAGGTCGCGCCCAGCGGTAAAAGTTTGGATCCCATGGCCCGGAGGCTTCGATGCTTGGTTACTTGGCCGCCCTAATTCGTGGGAATTGTGGGCACTTGGGGAGAGCAAGTTTGGCGCCCAGTGAGCTCACACGAAACCTTGCATGTTTCAAGGATAGAGCCGCCGCGATTCTTCTGTTCCTCAATGGCGTTTGCATGATGGTGGAGCTGGAGCTGGAAGGCAAACTTGACGATAGCAGCTAGAAGCGAAAACAAGTTCGGGCACGGTGTAGTCCGTTTTCCAGCGTCAACATGTGCAAAGGTTGCATTGAGTTGGCTCGTTGTTTGCGATATGTCCAGACACGCAAAGCCATCCCCTGTCACCGGCTTGAGCAACATGTGCAACAAACCACATGATGGGCCGCGTTTCATCTCATCGGGTTGTGGCCCCGCATTTTGCGATCACCTGTGTTGCTGCACCGGCTTTCCCAGTGCTGGCCGAGTTGAGATAGTACTGGCCATGCGGGAGCTTTTTGCCTCATACATGGAGAGTTGGTTGCTGCGCAGATCCGGATGCCTGTCCCAAGCAGTCCCAAACCAAGTACGCAGTGAACCTGAGCGGGTGTGAAGGGGAAGAACAGAAACGTATAGCTGCAGAATAATGCTTGTCACCAGGACCAACATCGAAACAAGTTGGGTCCTACATTCCGTGGGAAAGTGCCATCTACTAGCATAGCTTGCGCTTTGCGAGAAGATGGTCGCTAGGAGTCGATCTATTGCCTTCACACAGCTCAAGTGCAAAGCGCCATCCTGCAGTGATCCGGTCATGGTGTGATCCCCTGTTGCAGGGCGGGCAGCAGCTGAAACCTTGTCGAACAGCGACACGAGCCATTGCGTCTTCCTTGCCTGCCCTGGAGGAGCTTCTTCTTCCCTTGCTTTCATAGTCTATACTTGCGGTCGATCATGTTAAGCGATTGTAGTCAAGAAGCCAATAGCTCTAATAGCTCTAGCACTCCCTGCAATGCGGGCCTCGTCCTTGCTAGGCAGGAGGGAAAAATATCTCTAGCGACTCCAGCCCGAATCTGTACCTAAGACTGGAGAGAGCGCAACGGGCTGACTAAAGATGCAGATGTTGTGCACCTGCGAGAACTGCACTCGCTTGGGCGACTCATCGCTGGAATGTTCGATCTTCTGTTTTTCCTGGAGTGCCTTGGCAAAAGGGCTTGCGAGCTTCCGAGACTCAAAGAGCCTTTGGATTCAAAGACAAGGGCCAGGGTTCGGCCTTCAAGAAGCAAAGAGCCGTCCAAGAGGAAGACTTGATTAGGCAAGGTCTCTGTAAGAGTTTGACAGGGGTGACATAGCTTCCGAGAGCGCAAACAGGCTGCTGGCCCGTCTGGCATTGGAGAAGGCCACTTGGTTCTAAATTCCGCTCTTCGGCTAGAAGCCGCTGAGTGCAGTGACCCTGGACCCGTGGTTGCTGTTGTCCATGTCGACCTTCATGTTGTAGTGATGGGTGTTCTGGCTGTTGTCATAGTGAGAGTGGTTGCTGCTGCCTTGTCCTTATCGCTGTATTTGCCGCGTTCTTGTTGTTGTTCTTCTTCCGCTTGTTGCTGCTGCTACTGCTGCGGTTGGTGGCGATGCTGTTGCTGCGGTTGGTGGTGAGGCTGGTGCTGGTGCCGGCACCGCTGCTGCTGCTGCTGCCGCCGCTGGTTCCTTCTTGTTGGTGCATGTTGGTTGTGTTTCTGGTTCTACATGTGGGGATATATGGTGTCTTGGTGCATCGTGATTTTGCTGTCGCTGTTCGTGATTGTGGCCGTGGTCGTGCTTGCTCTTGTTGTTCTGCTTGGTGTTGTTGTTGTTGCTGCTGCTGCCGTTTACTGTTCGTTTCCCCATCATTGTTGCGATAGTTGTAGTTGCATGTAGTTGCTGTTGGGTGTCTTGTTCCTGCCTAGGCCTTGCCTGAGTTTGTCAAGCTGCGAGTGACAAACAAACTGCTGTTCCCGAATTCGTTCTTCTTGGTGGTGGTCGTTCTGCTGCGGATGATGATTCTTTTGTTGTGGCCACTGCTGCAGCGACTGCCTCTGGTACGACTTTAATTGCTCGGGTTTGTGTGTCACCACCCGCTCGATCAGCATGGAATGAGGTGGTCGGACAAAGTCGTGATGTTGAGGTGCGAGGTCATGGTGTTTGTGCATGTCATCCCTTCGCGAGCCAGGGGAAGGTTTACATGGTGCCCGCGATTTGGTTTGATGCAATCCTCGCAATTGCTGGCATGGTGGCTGCTCTGAATTATGACTCTTGTACATGATAGCAAGAGGCCACGGAGCAGAACTTCCGTCGTGACTCCGCATCTCTTCACAGCACCGGTCGCTGTCGAGGTACACTTGGTCTTCCTCGTTGTCATTGAGTTTGGCGAGGTCACTGCAGGTTTCCGGGGCAGTCAGAAGCATGCGAACGTAGCTAGTGTTCAACGAGCTCAGGCCTAAGGGTGGCAACAATGGTGGAATGCACTCTGAAGCATGCACCAGCCGAAGGTGCACCCATTATGTACACCGTTGTGGTTGTCCGAGCATTGCGTGCCATACGTCTTCTGCGGGTTCTTCGCTTCTGCCGTGGTCTCCGCATGTTCCTGTCGGCGTGCAGCTTGACTGTCCTTGGTATGTCTTTGTCTTAGTCTTGGTTTGAACGAAAACGGCTACAACGCCCAACTTGACACACTGCACAAAAATGAGCCTGCAGCATGCAAAGATTTGGATCAGTGAATAGTGCGAATTTTCGCAGGAGCCTGCACCAGGCAAGTTGTGAGATGAGACCGAAGCAAGTTCGGATTCTACTGGAACCAAGTCGGTTTGGCTCAAGCGGTTTTGCTGGACCATAGAATGCTGACTGCATGCCTTTTCGCTGGCTCGGAAGCATCGTCAGTACTTCCTGTCCAGGCATCACGGCTGCTGAGTCCAGGAGACTAGCACGGCAGCAGATGGAGTCCATCAACCCATGAGGGGACAAACAATTGCAGAAGCATATGTATGTATGTCTGTCTGTTGCGATGCCGTAGGCAGAGCAGAGAATCAGTACGGGGGTTTGGCCGATTGCTCCAGGGCTTTCCAAACATCCCGGCTGGTCTTCATGCAGTGCTGCAAGGGCGTCCTTGCTGTAAGTCCTGGTGAGCTGTTGTGGTTGGGGAAATTCGTTTTTGAACTATGCACAATGCCGCGGTGCAAACGTTTACCATGATCGTGAACACGAACGAGAAGCGGTCTCAGCCACGGTCGAGACATCCGCTGTCTAATGGAGAGCACCACATGTTCGAAATGACAAGGGCGCTGCTTGTTCATCGGTGGGCTCTCCCGTTGGCTACGGGGCATCGTCAAATGCAACCGGTTCGGATGAAAGCTTCAGAACCCTGAAGTAGGAGGGTCGCAGATCCGTGAGGATCATGACAAGCTCGATGACAACTTTCCAGCCGGCTTCAGCCAGTTCCTTTGGACGCAGGTGTGGGATGCTATGCATGTAGCCATATATGTAGCATGTGCGAACCTCTCCAGTTTTTACCAAGGTATTGCGATTGACACCAGGAAGCATCGCTTTGTTAGTGTGAGGTTGGCTCGCACACATTGAACGATATCCATCGGATATCAGTGGTGCTGTTTCACGGTTTGTCTGCTGTGAAGTTGACAGGTCCCGCAGACCACAAGAAGACAACTCTTGCTCTGCTGTGTGCATGCAGTTACAGTTCAACAAATTGAAAGGCTGCAACAGTCGGGGCCTCAGGTTCACTTGTGATCATACATCAGGCAGACTAGCTCTCAAGCTAGATTCTCGCTTGAAACCACACATTCTAGCGGTCGCTGGGCACCCGAAGACCCAAGACCGGACAGCCTCCAATATTGGACTCAGTTTGCATGGCGTGGTTACCGGATTGGCAATGCCTTTTGTGCGTGTTCATGCTGCCAAGAAAGCGGCATTGCAACCATTGCCGAAAAGGCTGGCGGCTGGCATGACTTGCGCCAGTGAGGCTCACTTCTGCATCAAGCGCGCTTCCCAGAACGACCCAGCGCCAGCCATGCTTGCTTTCTTGCTGACAAAACCTGGCTCCCCACCCCTAGTTGTGGCATCAACGTGCCATGGAAACACTGATGAGGTTGTTTGGATTGAGTGCGTTCTGCGCTAGGCAACAAGCACAGCCGGCAAGGCACTGTGTGTAGGATTATGTGGGGGCTTCAAGCTACCACTAGGTGTTTAAAATTTATTTAATTAGGAAACAATTAGGAAAGTCGATTAGGAAACAATTAGGCCCTAAATTAGGAAAGCCCGGAATTGGAAACAGGAAAGTAATAGGAACAAAATAGGAAACAAATAGGAGACAAAATACAAAAGTAGCAAAAGAGACAACATTGAAAACGACAAGAAAATAGAAAACTATTAGGAACCAAATTAGAAGCACAATTAGGAACCAGCAATAAAAAGCACAAAAATAGGATCAAAATTAAACCAAATTAGGACCAAAATTAGGACCGAAATTAGGACGTAATTCTGTTTTTCCATATTTTCTATTTTTGCATTATTTTCCAATTTTTCCTACATGTTCTTATTTCCTTTCTATTTCTCCTACCGTTTCTTATTTTTCTCCTAATTTCCTTACCTTTCCTAATTTTGGTCCTAATTTTTCCTATTTTCCTAATTTTTCCTAATGTTCCTATTTTTTTACCTAATTTCCTCCTAAAATTAGGAAAAAATTAGGAAAAAATAGGAAAAATAGGAAAACATTAGGACCAAAATTAGGACCAAAATTAGGAAAAAATTGGAAAACAGGAAATGGTCCTAATTTTGGTCCTAATTTTGGTTCTAATTTTGGTCCTATTTCGGCTCTATTTTGGCTCTATTGTTTTCCTTCTTGGTTCCTAATTTTGTCGTATTTGTATTTGGTCTCCTGGAATTTGGATTCTATTTATTTCCTTTTTTCGGCCTTATTTCTGTCCTAATAATTTCCTAATTATCGAATGGCGGTTTCTATTGGTTTCCTATTCGATTCCTATTCATTTCCCATTTTTCAAATTCTCCATTTCCTATTCATTTCCTATTCAAATCCTAATTTAATTATTTTTAAGGATTCCTAGAGTTAGCTTGCAAGCCCCCACATAAGTGTAGGAGGCCGAAAAATTGCAAATTGCGGCTGCCCCCACTTGGGTAGCGAGATGGGAAGACGGACCGGGCAAGCAGGTAGAATGGATCCGCCCCTCCTTCCTAAAGGAAGTCAAGGACTATGCGGGGGTTGCCACTGCCGCTGTCCCTCCGCCCATTTAAGTCCACTGGCTTCATCGACCTCGGGTTCCATGTCTTGGGGCTCGCGAGGCGCGAAATCCGTGTAAATGTCGAGGGTTCCTTGGGCTGCGCCAAAGGCCAGACCCCCCCAAAAAATCGATCGTATTCTTCGGTTTTTTGATGCTACGCAGGAGATGACTGCGGATGAGCTTTTGGATACTGAGCTCGCTTTTCCAGTTGTTCCATGTTGTCAGGGCCCAATTTTTCGTTTGCATTTTTAAAGCCGTGGTCATGGCAAAACGTCGAGTGAAGCTTCGTCGCAAACATGAATCCACAAGTACCAGCAGCTCATCATCCCTTTCTGATCAATCTTTCAGCACGTCAACTTCAAGTAGTCCGTCGAGCTCATCAGGTTCGGAGTGTACAAACCTGCCAACAAGCAAGCAATCCAATTTCGAAAGTCGATTGCAGTCTTCTGCGACGAGTCATGTGTGCGTACAAAGGAACCACAGAGTGAACCGGTAGACGGAGTTACGATGTTTCGTGCGCAAAATAAGCAGAACCACACAAGCCAAAGATCGGCTTCTTTTCCCAGAGTCCAATTCGCAACGCTATTGTTGCAAAGAACCCCCATGCCGGCTCTGTGCAGACTATAGACGAACGAGCAAAGCTCAGTTCATGCTCAGTTTTGTCAGGACCTTGACAAAAAGCGGCAAACGTAAGTTTGATGCAATAACTCATCATGCTGTCCTTCTCAATTGTAAATGCCCACATTTTTGAGTCGATCAGGTCATGCTGGATTTCGCCGAAAACAACGGAGCTTCCTCGGACTTGTACAGTTTTTGGTTACATGCCGCTGAAAGAAACGAGCCCGCGATCATTCAGATCGCTTCTTTCTTTCGGGATCCACCACAAGCAGGTTTCAGCACAGCGGTGAGTTGCAACCAGTAACCAGAAGCTGCCTCGGCTTCATCGAAAAGTATCGAAAAGGCTATCACATTCGAGTGCATTTTCGTGCCAAGGGTGGAAATCGGTCGGACATGAAATCTCACCATGCAGAGTTTGATCGTAGGTCGCAGTGAGATTCTCATTTTTCAGATTATTCCCGCAGGGCATGGGTGTGTGTGTACGCTTCTGCTTCTGATAACACAGAGTTTTACTTCAGGGGGACGTGGCATGAGATCAGGGACCACGTCCAACGAAGGTACCTGATCTCATGGGAAACAAAGGCTGGTAAGCGCTGTGTACCTGCATCCAAAATGGCGATGGGCTAAGCCCAAAAACCCAAACCGGAGTGTTCATGCGCGCGTGTGTGTGTGTGTGTGTGTGTGTGTGTGTGTGTGTGTGTGTGTGTGTGTGGGAAACCCAAACTACAACGGGACAGTGATATTGAGGTTAGAGCTTTCATTGTGCAGGGGGTGCCGGGGGCACTGGTGACACCGGCACTAACAAAGACGCTCATCAGTTGCCTGTGAAGCAGTGGAGGACGCTCCACGGTGTACCTGCTATTTGTGACATCGTTCATAGTGCAAGCTGTACAATGGTTCCACAATTACATCGTCGCTGTACATGGTGATTCCGAGTGCGATTCCGAGTGCGAGTTCAGGCCAAAGGTTCAAGGTGCTCCTTGGGTTTTTTCGCTGGTAAAGACCGACAAGGAAATCATGAGCCTCTTGAAGCCCCACTGACAACGCTTTTCTATTGATGTCTCAGCGGAGCATTGAACTCTATGCTGACTGAATTCCGACCACGGATGAACATTCCACCAGGGAAGCCTGGGTGTTCGAGTGTGAAATGGGCATGGCCTTATCCGTCACGGCGCCATTACCGCTGCTCTCGAGGCAGTATCCCTTGAAATGGTGCCCCGAGGGGGGCGAGTGATTCTTGGCTAGGTTCATAACAGGCCTCAACCACAAACAGAGCGGAAAGCATATGTTTTGAGACTGGAAAGCACCTGCTGATCTCGATGACCAGCATATTCAGCATATTCAAGCTTGAAGTTCACTTCGTTCTGAAATGCGCTTGAAGTCGACACTCATGCTGTAACTAAGAGTAATGTAAAGCTGCTAGTGCAAGATTCTGGGCTTTCATCATCCTTTTCTTTTGTTTTAGCGTTCTTTCGCTTTAAGTGTTTTTTTGGTCTTGAGTTGCACGTAGCAGCTTGCCATGGAGATCAATATTCAAATCAAGAATGCGCAGCCCGAAGACCTGCTGCAGGCGTTTGCAGCATTGAGCGGTGGATCAGTATCCTCGGCACCATCGGCTGCAACTTCTACTACTGAACAAGGGAGACCGCCTTTGAAAAGAATCCGCAAAGAAGCTCGAGCCACGACCGCGGCAACAAGGAGATCCCCGAGCCTATTGTTCAGTCAAGAAGAGCTCCGGGCACTCCAGGCAGCCAACCCGCAGGGAGTGGTGCAAGACTCTACGGCGGAGGACACCGAGCAGAGTGCAGGGATCCGGCGCGAAGGCCAAGCGGAAGGCTCAACCGTTTTCTGCATTCCGCAAGCACGAGGGACGCACCATGTCCCCTCGACCCTACTTCAAAAGAAGTGATCAGCTTGGAGCAGGAGAAGCCCCACCTACACCCAGACCTACCTCAGGATTACCAGCACTACCAATGACATCGCATAGCGCATCATCCGGACCCTCCAGACCATTGCTAGTGCGGAAGAAGCTTGTGGATTCAAGATCCCCAAAGCGTAGTCCTACAAGGCGAGGTCGCAGCAACTCCAGACCTTCCAGACCGAGGGCGGTTTTAAAATCCAGATCGCACACTCCCAAGACAAGATCCAGATCTCGCACTCCCAGGACAACATCCAGATCTCGCACTCCCAGGACAGTGAGACGCTCGAGATATTCCGGATCTACTGCACCTACAGCATCCAGACAACAGGCATCAAAGGCATCGGGCTCTGGCAACATTGGCGCTACTGCAGCACCGAAGGCGTCATCTACGCAAGGGCCTAAGATTGACCCCACGCTCTACGAGACCCCACGCATGCCATCAAAGATCACATTCAGCAAGAACATCAAGCAATTCCGAGTAAACTGGCGAAACATTGAGATCCAGCAGTTCCCCATACATGACTCTACCAAGCAGCATGTGGACGCACTCTGCGCTGCAGCAGAGTTCAGAATCAACTCCGGAGTTCTCCTGGAGCACGACCTCACGTGGGACAGAGGAGGAGATCCATCGCCAGAAACAATGAGGAGATTCTATTTAATTTCTTGCAATCTTCGGATCTCACTTTGCAGGACCCACCTCTACCAACACGACAAGAAAAGATCTTGTTCTGGTCGCATGCAACAGACGTGGGGGCGTTATGGCATATGTTGAAGCAGCGTGACATGCGTCCGATGAACGCGCATGGAGTGGCGGCATTCGGCTGCAACATATTTTATGCGCTAGGCCACGAGATGTCTGGGTCGGACATCGACGAACATAACCTGACCCGGGTGATCTTCAACACCACGCGCAGGGCCAAGAACCTGGCAGGCATCGTCGTGGGCGGACGTGCATGGGGATCTCTTCGCAAACACCTTGGCGGGTCCTATGAAACAGCTCGCGCAGCCACTGAGGAGGATGAGGTGCTCAAAGATGCGAATGCAAAAGCTTATTGTGTATCTCGCAACAGATATTGCTTTACATGCATTGCATTTGAGCAGCTGATGACACCGCCATCCACAGCGAATACTCTCATCTCCCAGTACCAAAAAGCTGCAGGCATAGCCCCACAAGGAAGAGCGCGGCTTGCACTACTGTAACTGCGGAAACATCGCAGCTCTTCCTCGATCTCGACTTTGGCAACACATTGCAGATCTTCCTTTACCATATGCCCAGCAACAGACTGCGACGCCACGGATATGCATTTTTCGCAGCAAAAGATGCACGTGCACTACATGTAACTGTAAGTACATAATCTTTCTTTCTTTCCTTGTTCCAATCGTTCTTGCTCCGTTAGCCTTTTTGTCAAGACGGTGTGCTTTAGTAATTCCCAAAAACCTAGCAAAAGAATGGCCAATGCGTGGACCGGATACTGGTCCCAGGGATCGCAGGACTCGGCATGGTGGCAGCCAGACAACAGAGGTGCAGCGAGCGCCGCTTCCAGTCAAAGCCAAGGTGAAGGAACATGGTGGCCACAAACACCTTTGCCGGCATGGCCACCCTTGCCTCCACCAGCAGCTAGCCCGTCGACGCAAATCGTGCCACTGCCGCCGCCAAGCACACCTCCAGAAGCCCCAAGCGCAGCAGGCCCACCGACATCCACGGCAAGAGCTCCACTTCCCAGTCAATTCAAGGAGGACCCCGAGCACTACGACACCAACCTCGTCTTCAAGTCAACCCTTCGGAAGAACGTGGAGCCAACAGCCTGGAGCCGCGCCAAAGGCCTTGCAGGCATGGACATTCGGGACGTCACTGTCGCGCATCTTTGCAGACATGGCATGGAAGAATTTGGTCTCCGAGGACTTTCCCACGGCAAGTTCACCGGCATGATTTTAACCCGCAACATCGCCGAGAGTGTCTTCCTCTCCCAGCTCCAAAAGAAGCTCCGCGAGAATAACATCGATGTTGATGCCACCGTCGACGCCATCTAAAAGAGCAAAAGTCAGAAAGCCCCGGACAAGGTAAAAGAGGCTACAGCCTTCGTGACGCCCCTCGTGGACACCATCTTCGACGCCATCAGGCCATGGGCGCAAGTTCGCAACTATGCCGCTAAGACCTCCGACCGCGAAGTACAAGCAGCGCCTACGCAGTGCCGGACTTGAAGTCACTCCCCAGAAAGCCCTCCCATTACAAGCTGAGCCAACAGATGGTCCAGAGATAGCGGCAAAGCCACGAAAGCGCAGACGCCTTACAAAAGGAGCCGGGCAAAAACGCAACGAGGACATCCTTGCCGAGCCCCACAACGTTATCCGCGCAAGTGGACAAGAGCCGCCGACCAGTATGACATCGATCGCAACCTGGGTCGCGAACCTCAAGAAAAGCCTCCCCCGAGACAAGCACTCGGAGGTAGACAACCACATACAATCCATGCAGACGATCCTCGAGAATGCCAAGCACACCAAGGCAGAGCTGCAGGAGATGGCCACGCGATGGGGACTCCCAATATCCCTCGCTACAGCGCCAAAGGCATCGCCCAAGAACCTCCAGCAGCTGATTGCGGCTGTCACCTACCTCGCTGTGTGACACGTACAAAAGATCCTGAGAGGACCATTGGCACATCAAGAAAGTGCCAACATCTTCCAGCGACTGCAGCAGATAGTGGATTGGGGGGCAGTTTTTGCTTTTTCATGTTCCTGCTATTATCAAAGAAGTTTTGATGTGGTTATAGTTGGCCTTATTCACTTAGTATTCACCTTTCATAGAATGCGGCAATCGCCTGCAGCAGAGCAACTTAAAGAGCGACTTCGAGAAAAAGGCGCGGTTCCAGAACTCTACACGTTCGACAAATTCTCCCAGCCTTGTGCCGTGTACATCAAGCTTTTATTCCCACGGCTCAACAAGCAAACCTATGCGACTGCTACCAGAGATGCATCCTTTTGTTATATCGGATCCACCAACATCACTGTTGCAAAGAGAGAATACAACAGGGTTGCAAAACTTCGTCAACTACAACAACTCAAACTACCCAAAACTGAGATTGCCATTCGATATTGGAATGATTCCCAGACCTACCTGCACTACAGCACCATTCTTCTTTCGCAGCACTCGGAGTATATTGACGCCTGGGCCGAAGAACATAGCCTGATTCAAAGATGGCAGCCCAAGCTGAACTACCCGTTTGTCACGAAGGAGCTGGTCAAAAAAGCACATGGTCTCGTTCCAAAGCACCAACAACCGCACCTTCGACATCCACCTGATTCTCTAGCCTTCTATTCCTCCAAGCAGCGCATCAAGAGACAACATCAGGACCAATTCCAGCGGTGGCTCAAGCATCACCAATTCCCTCGAGATCAACGCATACTAGACGAGTTCGACGCTTTCTTCGAACAAGAGTGGAAACAACATAGACTACAACTTCAGCGAGAGCCAAGAATCACACACAGGCTGGCAAAGAGCATTTTGGCCATGATTCCTGACGACTACATCACACACAACGAAGACCACGCCAACGCACACCTCATGGTCTATTGCCCCACCATCTACAACCAAGCCGCCTACAACACCTGGATGGACAAGCAGACATTCCGAATATTAGACAAGGACCCGGAGGAGATCAAACAGGACATGCAGAGCAACACCCCCAAGGTAGTCGCAAAGCACTACGCCAAGCTCCTCGCCTACGAAAAGCCCCTGTCGTATGGGTATATACTCATGAAACGGAAAAAGCGATGGGCCACGGGGAGGACCATAATCGCGTATAGCAATACGTGCATCGGCAAATTGCTGAAGATCGCGGCCTTAGCGTTACAACAGATGTTGAGGATAACCTGGCCCAACCATTTCGGCGACGTCAGCTCGCCACAACTTTGGGAGGAAATACACCAGCTCTTCAACAACAACGAGCACCTGTACCCGGAGCGCCACTTGAAATTTCTCAATCACGATTTGGTCGGATTCTTTAATTCGATACCACAATCCGACATTCTTCAGAGCATCCACTTCCTCACGTCCCAGTTCCTTGACGACCACAACCCCACCATCACCGTCGACCCGCACAACAAGATCGCGCCCGCACACTCCGGCAAGTCAACCTATACAGCCTCAAATCCAACATGGTCAAGGTGCAAGCCGAACACATACCAGCCATCATTCAGTTCAGCTTTGACGCCTGCGCTTTCACAGCCATTGGGGAGGTCCGGGAGGTCTTCCAGCAGACTTGCGGCACGTCTATGGGAAACCAAATCAGTCCCATCCTTTCTACGTGCGCAGTAGTGGCCACAGAAATCACATGGCTACGAATGTACGGCCAGTTTGTCAGCAGCGCCCACTTCTATGACAAATTCTGGATTCGCAGGTACGTCGACAACAGAGCCATCATCGTGGATGAAGAAGAGCTCCAGAACAATCCATATATCCAACAGCTGGCGTCGTTTACGACTCAGTGGATACCACAGCAGAAAGCACCTTATTCGAACCATTGCCTACCCAGCAGACGTGGCCAAGAGACAACTGCAGGAGCTTGACGACCTCTACGGTGAATTGGGATTCGCGCATCTCCTAGAAAAAACAGCAGTAGTACATGAGTCCTGCAGTACTTTCTAACGCTTTATAATGCTTTATTCTGCACCTTTGTTTCTTCTTTTTAGTTTTTTGGTTCAAGAAGGACAATGGTAGGTAGCCGGGTTAAGAAGTGCAAAAAGCAGCGTGCCAATGCCGCCGGAAATGCCATAGTCCTGACCGACATCGACACGGACTCTGAAGCTATGGAATACACGGTCAGACTACCACATGGGCTACCGCTGGACATGAATGCACCCGTACACTCAGTGGCCAAGGATGACCCGGTGGAGCAAGAATGTGAACTACTCCTTCAGCAAAGATACATTCCATTTGAAGTTTTCCCATGGCTCTCCACAAAGCTCAACTCAGAATTCCTTCGAGCATCTGCGCTCACCCGAGCAGGCAGACGAGCAACAGCCTATACAGTTGGCACATACTACCACGCGGGCAGCATCGGAGTACGTACTAACACAAGGCAGAGACCATGGACGGCAGCTACACTGGCATACATGGTGCGAGCATGCACTCACACGACGTTTTCAACGGTGTCCCTATTGCGCAACATACACATGCGCACTCATCGAGACAAGTACAACAAGCCAGGAAGCCTCAATGTCGTGATCCCAGTATCAGCCTTTCGACAAGGACACCTATGGATAGAAGAAGACAATGGACCAGATCTTTCTCCGAATGGGCAACATCGCGGACGTAACATTGAGCTCAAGTTGCCCGGGGTTGAGTTCAGCCCATTCAAACTCCACGGCACATGTCCATGGAAATCAGATCGATTGATCATCTCAGCCTACACCACCAATCGCATCGAGGACATATGCAGCGAAGACAAACGATACCTCCACCAGCTCGGCTTCAACCTTGCCTAATTCGACTCAGTACAACACTGTGGACGCAATTCAATGCCGGAAGTATGATGCGACTGCCGAAAACAGATGCGTCTCTATGCAAATTTTGTCCCTTCCGAGTTCATTTGTACCTAAGCTAAGATTGTGCACCTGCGTCTCAAGCGTTTAAGCAGCTCTTGGCCCCCCGATCTAGCTAGCGACAGCGCCAATGCTCCGTGGACGCAGCGCGTGGTATTCAGAAGAAGCAGAACACCGCACAGACGTACCGGTGAATCAACTCAGCATTTCGCAGCTCCTGGAGTTGGCCGAATACGTGGCGCGCAGATTGCGCAATGCCACCCGCTTCATGTTCGGTGGCGTCAAGTGCGTTATTCCATGTCAGCAGTGCGAGGCCGCAAAATACTGCGATCCTAACTACGCCGTCCAAACATGTGCCCACACGTCGCATTCACAAAGCTCTGAAGAAAATCATATCTGGCATGGACGACATCTATGCTGGTACCACGCAGATTAAACAAAGCAGATAGAGGACCATGAGCGGCGATCAGAAAAAGACCGAGCCAGTCCCAATGCAGCATGAACATTTTCTGCTTGCTGGTATGATGCAAACCCTGCCTTGGTAATCTTTTTCTTGTTAACCTTTTTTCTTGTTAACCTTTTTCTTGTAAGCCATCCTTCTCAAGCACGGTGTCGCCCCCCTCCCATTCCCCAGTGACATCCAGTGACCAGTCACCTTGCACAATGCGCCGGGGAAGACGCACATGGGATGGAGAACGTCACGATGAAACACCGCGACAAGCAGGCCCTGCACAGCTCGACAACATGTACCAAATCGTCAATCAACTCAGTATGGTGCAGCTACTGGAGCTCGCGGAGTACATCATTCGGAAAATCGCACGAGAGTCACGCTACATGTTCGGAGGCGTCAACTGCACATGCAATTGTCAACAGTGCGAGGTTGAGCACCGCAGCAACCCCGACCTTGCCATCATGTACTGCTCTCACACGTCGCTATCGCAGAGTTCTGAAGACCACCACCAGCGACAAGGACGGCATCTTTGTTGGATTCACGACGACTAAGATATGCGGCATACTGACCCTGGAATCTTCCTCTCAGGTCATAGTAAGTTCGGACGAGTTCCCTGCGGTGCGACTTGTTTCAGCTGGGCGGGTGGCAAAAAAGATTTGCGGCAGGACAGCGCCTACAAAAAGGAGACGAGACAGCAATTAGTTTTTGTCTGCCAGATTGCTTGAGAGAACGTCACACATTTCCGAACGCACCATCACTGCAAGTCCTTTTGGTTCTAATAGGTCCTTCTTGTTGTAGTCCCATAGCAGTAAAACCAGCCATGCCGAAGCGAAAAGCGGGAGAAGCTGGACTTCCATGGTACTCTATGCGAAGTCAGTGCTTTCGGATGACAGTTGAAATTCCACCTGACCGAATCACCAGGGACAAACGTATGCTCCTACATGTGGTGCTTTGTCTCGGAGATACTGTACTGCAAGCACGGAAAATCTTCTCATACCGCATCAAAGAGATCACCGGCAGAGTACCAGAAATCCCAGCCTTCTTCTTCGAACAAAATCGACGACGATTACATGATTGGGATCCGGTTACATCTATGGCAACGCTGAAGCCGGTGCTCTTCGTTCGGACAACCTCAGACCAGGAAGTGCGGCAGCAACGATGAAGAAAGAAGAGTCCGCAGCCCCTCCGATGGAGGTCAGTGTGTGTGGGAAACCCAAACTACAACGGGACAGTGATATTGAGGTTAGAGCTTTCATTGTGCAGGGGGTGCCGGGGGCACTCGTGAGACCGGCACTAACAAAGACGCTCATCAGTTGCCTGTGAAGCAGTGGAGGACGCTCCACTGTGTACCTGCTATTTGTGACATCGTTCATAGTGCTCAGTTGCCTGTGAAGCAGTGGAGGACGCTCCACTGTGTACCTGCTATTTGTGACATCGTTCATAGTGCAAGCTGTACAATGGTTCCACAATTACATCGTCGCTGTACATGGTGATTCCGAGTGCGATTCCGAGTGCGAGTTCAGGCCAAAGGTTCAAGGTGCTCCTTGGCTTTTATCGCTGGTAAAGACCGACAAGGAAATCATGAGCCTCTTGAAGCCCCACTGACAACGCTTTTCTATTGATGTCTCAGCGGAGCATTGAACTCTATCTGAGTGAATTCCGACCACGGATGAACATTCCACCAGGGAAGCCTGGGTGTTCGAGTGTGAGTGTGTGTGTGTGTGTGTGTTTTAGGCGTGGGGTGGTTCACCGAGTGTAGACACACGATCGCATTGCAAAGGCAAAACGTTTTTGACATCGCTGGTGTGGGCGATGGTGCTGCTGGGGATATTTTTGTCCACATCTGCCCTGATCATCGGGAACATGCTGCAGCATTACATCACTGATCCCATGGAAAGCTTGGAGATGCGAACCTGGATGTGGGATCATTATGGCACCGCTTACAATGCCGCCTACACCTTCTTCGAAGTGACATTCGCCGGGAGTTTTGGACGCAAAGACGGTCAACTTGTTTTTGCCGTGTCCGGCGAAAGTGTAAGTTTTGGTGATTTGGTGGTACACGGAATCAAACCAAAAAAGGAATTGGCCTACCAATGTCAGACCCGTGTTGGACAATGTCAGCAAGCTGTACGTGTTATTTTTCGGTGCATACATTATTGTCGTCGTGTTCGCTCTCGTCCGTGTCATCACAGCGATATTTTTGAGAGATACTTTGGAGGCGGCGCAATCCGATGCCGAGTTCATGGTCATGGAAAGTTTGCGCAAGCGAGCACGATATGTCCAAAAGCTGGAAGGCATTTTCAAGGCCATTGACAAGACCGGCAAGGGCATGGTCACAGAAGCAAGGTTGAATGACATGCTGAGCGATCCCTCTGTGAAAGCACACTTCCAGTCGATTGATGTCGACATTCATCAAGGCTGGCGCATTCGTTTGGTTTGATTGACAGCATACCTGGTTGTAAAACCGGGTGGCAACCGCTCATAAGCAAATTGTGTTCACAGGTGTGGCACTTTTCCATTTGCTCGATAATGGGGACGGGGAAGTCACATTGGAGGACTGTCACGGTTCCGTCGTGCCTATGTTGAGGGTATGTTTGTGGAAACTGTCGTTTGATTCATTGATCACTTGCCACTGGCGATGGGTTCAGACTGGTACGTATGATTGAATGTTCAACACGTCTGGAGGAGTTTGTGGATGGCATCTTGCGATGCAAAGGCCAAGCCAGGGCTATTGATCAAGTCGCTCTTCATGCAGTGCTATGGATGCAGCAAGTGGTTGTTCGCTTTCGCCAGTTGATTCGTGCACAGAACCCCAACGCTCCGAACCAACAAATTACATGTCTTTCAATAAGAAAGTTTCGTGGTTTCGATTCGTTGCTACTAAAGACGGTCGTCGTCCGTGCAATCGTACAGCGGTACAGTCGCAGCATCGTGGATAGGGGCGGAGGTGTAGAGCTGTGGGGCAATAAAATCGTAGAGTAATAGAGAACTAGAAAGACGCCATGGTTGGGGGGTTTGGGAGTCTAGGAGTAAGCAGCAGCTATACTCAGTTTGCATGCCGCGTTCAGGAAGCCCGCGGTAGTGCTAGTGCTGGGGTTGTTTGTGCTAGCGAGCTTTGTTCGAACATGCGTAACGGCAGACCTACACGCTTGGTTGTGCACATTCGTCCCCCGACGTCCTCTCAAGGAGCTCAAGCAGTTGGACACGAAGCTTTCCAGGATGACGCGGATTTTCACCCAAGTGTACCCTACGCTTCTGAGGACGGGGCACCGGAAGCAAACAACCGACAAGGGTCGAGATGTTCAAGTTATAATATACCATCTGATGACGTCTCATGTTTGTTGCTCCGACAGCTTGCTTGGTGCACTTCGGCGAGCATTTGAGTTTTCAATCGCAACAGCAAGGGTTCAATTCTGCCATCCCCACATGCCACAGGTGCTAACCTGCCAATCGATGATTGCCCCGTCAGGAAGTCGACTCAGGCAGCCAAGTCACCTACACCTCAGCTGGGAGTCATGCGGCGTTTGTCTATGGCCAGTGACGGTTTTTCGGAGCACCAGGCACTAACAGACTAGTATGAATCATAAGAGGGCTGCACAGTGTCAAAAGATGTCAGCAGCATCAGCTCTGCATCTTGTTGTATAGGCCACGGCACAGGATCCAGGAATGAACCGTTCCTACTTGCGCGAAGATAGGGTCTTTCGTACGCAGGAGAAATGGGAAAGCTTGATGGAATGGATTCTGTTCAAAGGTTTCGCATGGGAAGAAGCTTTTTTTGGGGGGGGAGGATCATCCCTGCACCTCTTGACAGCCACTCTGGCTGCTCCAACCCGGTCTCTGACAATGCTCAGATTACGGGATGTAAATTTTGAACGACAATTAAGTGCAACAGACGCCCCCAAGTGGCGAAAGCGCGGAAGTCATTATACAGAATTTATATAAGTATAAGTTTACACGTTCATGGAGGGTTGGCCCACACTAATCACAGCTGGTGATTTTGTCCCGGCTGCCGCGTGCTTTGGCGAGTCCCACGAGCCTGAGGTCGCGTGAGTCTTGCAATGAATTCGTGGCGGTTTTGCCTGTGCTTGGCTTCGCCCTGGCTTTGACACCTCTGACAATGCATCGCATTTCGTAGCCCACAGGGCTGCCGGGTCCTCGCTTCTGGGTTCCTCTCAGCTGCCTGTGGGTTTCTATCCCCTGGCAGCCTGGCATACTGCAGACACATCCCAGCACAAGCTGCGAGAAAGTGCAGATGATGCTCCAACCAAAGCTTGTAGCAGCTGGCCCTCAATGCTCTTTTTGCCAAGGATTTCGAGCGTTTGCTCGAGGATTCCGTGGACATAGAGGTTGGTGCAGACAGGCTCGGCAAGAAGCTGCATGCAGCTGCTGTAGTAACGCTAGGCTCTGCCCATTCATGCTTGTTTGCTGTAGCCGATGGATACATTTGACATTGGAGGCCCAGCGATGCCGTGCCTCAAACTCCTGTCACTCCCATGTCGGCTTCAGGCGCGTGCAGTTTCACTGACGGCGTTTCTCGGACTTGAGTCCTGGACTCGAAGTAGCTATTGTGCGCTTTAGTACCTCAACGCATGTTGCCTAATGTAGCTAGCTCCGCCACTTTAAACTGGCGAATTGCGAGGTTTGAGATAAAGGTTGCATGAATTGCTTACGACGCATGGCTCTGATGGTGATCTTCTGGTGGTTGGTGATGACTCTGGTGACAGTGCTGTCAGGCACCGGACCTGCACCACAAGCAGAGGCCCCAGTTGCCAAGCTGTCTGGCGAGCCTTGGCTTCTCCCAGATACAGGGGCTATCTGGGATTACCGTCGTGTAAGAAGAAGCAGCCGCAGCAGTAGTACTTGTAGTAGTAGCAGCAGTAGCTGGAGTAGGGGTGGAGTCGGAGTGGTGGCGATGGTGGTGGTGCTGGTGCTGGTAGTTGTGGTGGTAGCGGTCGTGGTAGTGATAGGAGTTGTAGTGGTCGGAGTGGCAGTGGGAGTAGGAGTAGTAGTAGTAGCAGTAGCAGTAGCAGTAGCCGTAGCGGTAGCGGCAGTGGCATTGGCAGTGGCAGTGGTAGTGTAGTAGTAGTAGTAGTAGTAGTAGCAGCAGCAGCAGTAGTAGTAGTCGTCGTAGTGGTAGTGGTAGTGGTAGTGGTAGTGGTAGTGGTAGTGGTAGTGGTAGTGGTAGTGGTCGTAGTAGTCCTCGTCGTCGTCGTAGTAGAAGTAGAAGTAGCAGTAGCAGTAGCAGTAGCAGTAGTAGTAGTAGTAGTAGCAGTAGTCGTGGTGGTAGTGGAGCAGGAGCAGGACGGCAGTGTTCGTAGCGTCGTAGCAGTCGCATTAGTAGTTGTCGTAGTAGTAGTAGTAGTAGTAGTCGTAGTCGTAGTCGTAGTCGTAGTAGTAGTAGTAGTTGTTGTTGTTGTGGTAGCAATAATAGCTGTAGTAGTAGTAGTAGTAGTAGTAGTAGTAGTAGTAGTAGCAGTAGCAGTAGCAGCAGTAGCAGCAGTAGCAGCAGTAGCAGCAGTAGCAGCAGTAGCAGCAGTAGCAGCAGTAGCAGCAGTAGCAGCAGTAGCAGCAGTAGCAGCAGCAGCAGCAGCAGTAGTAGTAGTAGTAGTAGTAGTAGTAGTAGCAGTAGTAGCAGTAGTAGTTGGAGTAGTAGTGGTACTAGTACTAGTAGTAGTAGTAGTAGTAGTAGTAGTAGTAGTAGTAGTAGCAGTAGTAGTAGTAGTAGTACTACTACTACTACTACTACTACTATAAACAAAATAGTAGTACTAGTACTAGTACTAGTACTAGTACTAGTAGTAGTACCAGTACCAGTACTAGTACTAGTACTAGTACTAGTAGTCGTCGTAGTCGTAGTAGTAGGAGTAGCAGCAGAAGGAGGAGTAGGAGTAGGAGTACGCGCAGGAGTGACGTAGTGGCAGCAATGGTAGCCGTAGCGGTTGCCGTTGCCGCTGCAGTGGCAGTAGTCAGTCCACTCGTTCTATTGAGTAGGTAAAAGCAACGGCCATGTGTTCTTCGTCAAGAACTTCAATCTAGGCAGGTGGCGGCTGGCAACTCATGACCTGCAGATCCCAGGCACCATCGCCAGTTCAACGCCCACCTGCTGCAGCTGAAGGAGGCCACGCACACCCACGCGGTCCACTCGTGCATGTTGACACCACGACGGTCCGTCAATATCGGCGTGTCCTTGGTGCACCGCAGCAGCGCATGCGCCCCCGCCGCCCCGCAAATCCTCCCTCTCTCCCATCAAGACGGCGACAGACGACATGTTGATTCCGTGGGACCGTTGGGACTCGCTGGCTCGCATGCTCACCCAGGTCCCCTCTCTCGCAGATGATTCTTCTGTTATTGTTTGTTCCTTTAGCCTCTTGGTCCCGTTCGTTCTTTCTCGCTCAACTCTGATGTCGAGTAGATGCTGTCGATTGGAGAACACTCGCTGCCTCAGGCCAGCCGTCGGGGAGCAAAGTCCAGGCATGGGTGCGGCTGAAGCACGACCCAAGAGATATCTCCACAGCGACAGATGCCCTTTTAGCCAGTGTGCAGGGACAGCCAGACTCTTGGTCTCTGGTGGGACTTTCAGGACGATTGGAGGACCGGGTGAGATGCATTGCAGGTGAGAGATTTGCAAAAGGGCATGGAAGCTGGTGTTGTCACCGCGGGGCAATGGGCTGTAGCAAGCATGTTCGCACGGACAGGGCATGCTTCCAGGCGCCTGAAGACATGCACACAGAGAGCGCGAGAGACAGAGCGCATCGAGGCATAGCATTGAGATTGCCCGAGGACATCTGTCGGGACATTCGCCGCAGTGTAGAGCTCCTTGGCTGCAGTCATTCCTGGCAGGTCGGTTTTCGTGATTTGAGTAAATGTGCCATGCAAGCATCCGGAGCTTGTGAGATGTGGCGGTGGGAAGACTGAGACGGAGACTCTTCGCCTCACCTGGCGACATGCCTCTCTCAACTCAGTCTTCCTCTCGCACTGTGCACACACTCGCATTGTCACTGTGTGTGTGTGTGGAGGCATGCAATTGAGCTCGGGCATGTGCGAGAGCACACATCCACACACTGTGCTGCAGGCACGAGTTCATGCTGTCAGAGCGACAGCTGCAGGCCGACCGCACGATTCCTGGGGTTCCTGTCTTCATTTGGACAGTAACATTGACATCCTGATAAGCCCTTGCTGCCCACACCTCTGGGTGCGCTGTCTCATGCCAGCTGCCAGATGCTTGCATATCCACCCGGCACAGGTTGCAAATTGCCTCTTTTTCGTTTCACTGTCACTTGTCTGGATCGGCCGCGTTTCGGTTCGGCTCCTCGATTCACACTTGTCGCAGGCCCAGTTCCGGGCAGACCTCGAAGCTCATCGGCTCCGAGCCGAGGCTCTGGCCTGTCAGCAGCAGGCTGGATGTTTCATCCCAGGGTGCAATGTTTGCCCCCATAGAGGCGACATGTCGCGATGGCTTTCAGCATCCGGGCGTTGAGTATGTGTTTCGGACGGGTGGCAGAAAGTCTGGGGGTAGGGCCTGTTTGGATCCGCAGAGTGATACACTATTCTCGCTGGTAGTACTGTCAGTATCTTCCTCGCGCTGCAAATGCATCGAAGCCACCAGAGATCCAGAGTGCATACCATGCGGGTGGTTACAACAAGACAAGCACCATCCCGACTGCTACTTGCTGCTGCTGGCGCTGCCGCTGCTGCCGCCGCCCGGCAACTGCTGTTCCTGTGGCTGCGCGGGGCCGTCATCGTCTGCTGTTGATTACTGTCACAGTGACCGCAGGCCAAGATCGAGGCACTGGAGTTGGATTTGAAATCAACGACCAAGAAGCTGGAGCTGAAGCAGAAACAGGCCAGATGTCTGCATCAACTCAAGGAAGTGTAGAACCGCAGCAGTCAGACTTACAGCTGAGGCCCTCCGTGTCTAGTGAACTGGTGGAGTGCAGTGGCTTTGAGATTTATGCGGTTTGCGGATGCCCGGTTGAATTCGTCCCCTTCTTGTTCATCTTATGTTTTGCACCCCTTGAGCATCCCCGTCCCCGTGCCCTGCCTGAAGGTTAAAGAGTCATTTGCGCTGTCGACGCGAGTCCGGCAAAACTTCTTCGCACGGCTGGCCTTTGAACGTGCCTTCCGCTCTTGGCAGGCATCATGCTTTACTGGTTGCAAGCAGTTGAGTTTCAGCATGTGCGCATCGTCCTGGCGATGCGCAGCTGCCGTTGAGACGACAGCTCGTGTGGGATAGAGTGTTTTTGGATCGCTCTGAGCAGATGGTGACTGCGCGTTTGCCTCACCGGGGTCCGGCCACAGGCACATGCCGTACAGATGAAGGAGGAGTCACACGGCTGCACAGAGAAAGGTGGAGCTTTGCAGTGCAGAGAGGCGCGGCATTGTACTTCTGCATGCATGTCGCATTTGAGACCCTTCGCGGAGAATGCAGTGCTCGGTTCATTTGCGGGGCTTCAAAACTATAAGCAAGTATCAGAGACACGGTAAGGCAACTGCAGAACAAGCTTGCGACGCGTCTGCACATAGACCCTTCATTGCAGCAGTGGGCCGCCTGTATTGTGGAGTTTTCTTGCACGGGTACGGTGATGTCCCACACGATTCTGCAGTGGCAAGTTCACGCATCATAGGTGACCCGCAACCTCCCCGAAGAGCATGACAACTGCTTCTGAGGCCAGCTATCAGCAGGGCCAGCGCTTGGTTGCAGCCCTGTTCACCTCCTGGCGGCAAGATGTGCAGAGCGGCAGTCGTGACTCTGCTCAAAGCCGACAAAGAGGGAATTTTGAGGAAACAGAGGCGCAGAGAGAGGCTTGAGAGAGAGAGAGAGAGAGAGAGAGAGAGAGAGAGCGCGCTCGGCTTCGTCCTCGACCCCGAAGCCACGGTGTAAGGCGAGAGACTCATTGCCCATGAGCGCGCTGCTGCGGGCGCCGTCCGTGCCAAGCTTTTCGAGCAGTCCCCCGGCCTGTCTGCAGCTCCACATTCAGATTGTGATGATGTCCGGGGCATGTTGCTGCCGAGGATGGAAAATGAGCGTGCGCAGCTCCTGTCACAGGCAGGCTGCAAAGCCGCAACAGTCCCCGGCACTTTCCAATGTGCGGAGCTCTTTCGGGAGGCACCGTAAGCTGCAGAACTGCAGGTGGAGGAGTTGAAGCGGCAGCTCTCGGAGGAAGGAAAGCAGAGCCCCGGCTACTTGAGGAAGTCGTGCCTCATAATCTTATGGAAGTGCAGGCAAGTACGTAGAGGCGAGCCAAACCCTGCAAACTTGAGCTTGTGATCTCCATGGGCATCAAGGAGAGCGCTCCTCCAGGACAACTTGAAGCGTGTCTTCATGCGAGGTCGGGGGACCGGGGGAGTTGAGTTGTGGATTCAAGGGGGACTCAAGCATGACGAGGCGTCTGCGCTTTGAACTTCGAGGCCATGTCCCTACTCTCGGATCCTGGTCGGGTCCTAAGGCATAAGGCTGAAGTGCTGGCGTCAATGCGCCGTTTGTGCCTAGCATTCTTTGTTTGAGGTGCTGGTGGTAGCGTCCTTTCAGGCGCACCAGGGGCGGCCACCATGGAAGGTGCCTCTTTCAATCTTAAGGTGCATCGTGCGGTACTGTGGTGTCCAGAGTGTAGACTGATCCCGAGAGGCCTCCTTGCTTCCGAGCCGGCCAGCGCTGAGCCGGTGGCACTTCCTTGCGGCGCGAACGTCCTTGGCTCGGACATCTTACACAGAGAAGAGAAAGATAATGCATCAACGGTGCAAGGCCAGCTGTCACGGTGCGCCAGCAGCACCACAGGCCCTGCCAGCGCAGGACCTGCGCCGTAAGACGATCAGACTGGACCACGCCGAGCCACGGAACCGTCAAAACCAAACCCTTAGGCAGCCATGTCTGCAGGAACGCAGACTAGCCTGGCATACTTGCCTCTCGTGATGTGACCTTGCAGGACGTGAGTCAACCGCCAGCGAAGCCATCAGAAGGCAGCAGGGTTTGCAGCTGAACAGTGAGTGGCAAGAGACTGTGCGCAATTGCTCTAGCTTGCGAGTGTCAAACGTGCAGCTCAGACTGAACCTTTGCCTACCGAACCTGGTGCAAGTTCAATTAGTAAGGCCTGGAATGGCGCCGGTACTGGGCAGTCACTGATTTCCGTCCATTTGATACTTCAGAATCAGTATCTTGGCAACGTGGGAGCACTTCCCCGGCTGGCACATCATGCACACTTTCGCCGCGCACACACCCCCACGAAGGCTGAATGAGACTCGATGCTGAGCGAGTGGACTAGCAAGTTGTTTGTTGTGATGAGGATGACGACCCGCGCAAGCAGAATCCACAACCCATATGGCTGGTTCATGGTCTTATATCAGTTCTTTTCATGGTTGCGAGCTCTGGGTTGTCGCTGGCTGTGACGTTTGCTTGCATTATGTGGAGCCTGCCAGAGCTTGGCCGTGATGCCGCTAGAATACCCAGTGGTGCTGTGTGGCACAGCACCGAATTCCAAGAACGACAGGGGACGAAGCACAAAACCTTTCGTGGAAGGCTCGAAACATCCCAGAACTGTCCGACAGGCATGGCGCAGGAAGAGGAGGCTTTGCAGCCGAAGGTGAGGCATACAGAAGTGTTTCTTTTCCGGTCGAGGGCGGATCCGAAGCTGAACTACATGCAGGATGCGATGCAAGACGCACCGCTTTCAGTGTCCAGGTTGCAGAGAACTTGCCTGAGCAGGTCAGCCCAATACCGACACCATCGCCTTTGCCTTTTGTCTCCTACACGGGACCGTCCGCATCAGTGCCTCGGCTGCTGCCCGGTCCAACAGATGAAGAAGAGAAGAGGGTGAGCAGAGAGATGACATCAAACGAGAAGACATGAAAGTGCCGCAGGGACAGGCGGAAACAGTCCAACACGAGACGATAAGTAGCACCGAAAACGAGAACAACGACCCAGCAGCAGGGAACGAAGGTGAACAGCAGCCAGCTCAGAACCACAGAACCAGCGGAGGGCTGCTACCTTCGTTTCATGTCTTGCTCAGGCCACTCAGGCCGCCCCTGCAGAGTCCATGACGGGTAATTTTTCGTTTGCCATGAGATTTCGTTTTCCACAGCGCCGAATTTGGTTGATGATCGGGCTTACGAGGGACTAGCTGGAAGTTGGGTGCAGCTTGACGCAGGGAGGGGGTGGGTCGAGGCAGACAGGGCGAGAAAGCCAATGCTGCCAAAGATGCTCTGCTGCAAGTCGTACTCAGCATGGACCATTCTGATGACTACTGAATATACTGAATGCTGATGCTGGGCATTGTGGAGTGGTTGCTCTTACTTTAATCTCGAGGCTTTGTTTCAGTGATCTTCACTACCCGCGGCCTGAAGCCCAGCGCAGGTCCCGCTTTGAAACTACTGGTACAGTACACTCCAGCAACTAAATAGTTATGAGTGTGGTCATTTTTTTTGGAATGGCCGTCAACCGGACAGACAGCATTGTGCGGTTGGTAGCCATGGCATTTGCGGTATTTTATGGCAGGCAACGAGACCGTCCCTGGCAAGTTAGGTGCATGGGGATCGCACTGCTGTGGGACTGGAGGGCAACGAGCCGAGGAGCCGCTTCCCAGGTCGTCGAGAAGAGCTGGCAGCACGTGCTTTTGGCAAGCATTCTGCCGATGTAACTCTAAGCCGCACAGAGTTGCTGTGACCATGCACACTTGCATGTATAAGATACAGGTCAGTCCGCTGCTTGTCGAGTATTCCGCACTCTCTCAGGCGCTTAATTCGGGCACTGAGTGGCTGCCCCTGGGGAACCATGGGAGACTGTCGACCATGCAGTGCTGCTTGGGGAAAACGAACTGGGCCTGCCTTTCAGTCCAAGTGCTACGGTGAGGAAATTGAAATAAGTGCACGGCGGCCAGACCGCCAAAGCCACGGAGGCAATGTAAAATTTCTGGTTGAAATTTGCCGCATGTTCAAACATCACAGGTTCACCGCAGTAAAAAGACTTGCTGGCCGGACCACGGAGGAAGTGTAAAGTATCTGTTTGGACCTTCAAATTCGCATGTTTACAGAAGCAGCATAAGTAGTACTAGCGCGGCACCGTGTGTCCATCGGTGCTGAGTTGGTGGCATGGCCACGAGAACTCTGAGGCCGACCCATTACACCTGGGCCCGGAAGTTACGACACCTGCCGCTTGGCCGCAGTAGCTGAGGTTGGGTTGCCGCGTGCACGAGCGCTGGCAACCGAGTCAGTGAGGGTGTGACAATGCTCGCGTGTAGGAGCTTCACGGATCAGAATCAGAACAGGATTGCTGTGCAGACGATTGCAGACGTATCAGTAGTGCCAGAAAGGGCAGTAGTAGCAGTAGTTGGCGTTGTTGTCGTCGTAGTTGCTGCCGTAGTGGAGCAGGAGCAACAGCAGCGTCGGCATGCTTGTCTTTGTAATACTGGTAGGAGAAGCACGATTGTCGTAATTAGTAGAACTACTAGTCACCGCACTGTAATACTAGTTGTACTGGTAGCACTGGCAGCAGTAGCAGGAGCAGCAAGCGGAGCAGCTGTCGTCGTCGTCGTAGTAGTAGTAGTAGTAGTAGCAGTAGCAGTAGCAGTAGCAGTAGCGGAGGTAGTAGTAGTCGTGGTGGTGGCGGTGGTGCGGTGGCCGTAGTAGTCGCGGAGGCAGTGAGATTGTCGTCAACGACGACGATGTATTGAGACTTAAGTAGATGTAGTACTGGCAGCGGCAGCAGCGCAGGCAGGTTTGGTATCGGGGGCCTGATTGCAGCTGACGCTCAGGCAAAGGTGGCGGTTCCCCTGTCTTCTCGGTGAGGCAGCTGCAGAATAGAGCATGCTAGCTGTGGAGATCATGGTGTGACCTGTTGCTGTGTGCGTGTGTAGGGGCGCTATTAACTTCTCGAATCACGTTTGTGCTCCTGGGCCCCTGGTGCCGTTCCCAGGCCGAGGAGAGCGCTACCGTTGCATCCTTCTGCAACACCGAGACAGGTCTTCATGTCAATGTAGGATCCGGTGCCTGATGGGTTCTGCCCAGATTGAGTGAGTAGATTGCCTCCCAAGTTCGTGAAACGCTGGGACAGTGAAGTTCATGTCGATGTTGCAAGCGGCCACAAATTGTGGTGCTTTGTTCATACTTCCTGAGCAAAACTGCTCGGGACTTAAGCGTGACCATGCGAACACGTGAGCCAGCACCATCAGTACCAGTCTCCACGAATCGCGTGCTAGTGTTGTCAGTATATGTAATTCCGGTTGTAGCTGAATGGCGGGGCTTCAAGAGGACAAACTAGGAGTCTCTCCACAAAAAATCTCACGGTCAGAACGTTCACATGCTCCGCGGCACGTCCCTCGTTAGGCTTGGATTCCAATGCAGATATCCGAGCTCGGAGATGGCATGCAAATAAAATCAAGGCCAGACGAGCACCGAGCGATGGCACGCCAAGAGAGACAGAGAGAGCAAGAGCCACTGAGGGCACCGAGCAGGCGATATCTTCAAAAAACGATCGGCCTGCAGAGTTTTGTGTCCATGCATGTTTGTTGTGCTCCCTGGTGCATCTGCTGAGCTTTTCATGCAGGCAGCCTATGCTCCTGAAGTCCCGTGTGCGACATGTCAGCCAGCATGCCGAGCGTGTGCATAGACATACGTATACATCCTAATAAACACGAACATGTGCATATGCGAATGCAGATGCCAAAACACGTCGGACTCAGAGACCGAGCCCTAGGCCCTAAGCCATACGCGCTCCGCACTCCCCTCGCGCGAGCGCGCTGTGCGCAAGCATCAGCATCATCATGGTCACGGTTGGTGCTTCCTTTCTTTGGAGCCATCGAACCCGCCTATAGGGGCGGCCCAAGATCTGGAGTCTTTCATGCTGCACCGCCCTGAAGATTGCGGTCTGTCATATTGCGCCTGGAGCGGCGTGTCATAATACAGCAAGCTGGAAAACAGAAATCGTGGAACCGCCGAACCTTGAGGGTGCCCATTTCATCCACCAGCAGAGCCATGAGCCATCTTTGGTTGGAAGAGCAGCCATGACCAATCCTCACAACAACCCGATGCTAGAAACGTAGCAGATCTTCGCCGCAATGCCGGATCCGAGCCCTCCTACTCGGCAGCTGCCCAGCAAGCACGAGCTCCAAGCGCAGGTCAGTGATATGTAGGGCATGGGCGGCATGAGGAGTGCATCTGCCCAGGATCAGGCTTCGAAGAGAGGGAGCCATCCTGGCCATCCTCGCCCAGGGTCAGGGTTCCATCCTGGCCCTGGCCGGCAACGTAACTTCGCTTTGATTTGAGGAGTGAGCTTAGACTCCTGCACAGAACCCAGACTCTTCGCTCAGCACCTGGCCAACTCAGTTCCAAGGGTTGGCTTTGCTTACTATCTAGTTCTGGCAAAAGCTCTGAAGACCACAAGCGAGAACTCCCAGCTTCTGGATAGTTCCAGGTGCAGTGTCCATGTCGTGCCTTGGCTTTGCTGCACTTGGGAAGCAAGGTCACAAGCATGCCGATGCTGCCAAAGCTGCAGCTAAGGCCAGCTAAGCAGTATGAGCAGATCTTAAGTAGCTACGGTCCGAAGAGCAAGCGAGCTTTATTGCTTCCCTCTCTCGCACTCTAGTTTGCGCGGTCGCCTCCCAAGCACAGATAGTAGTAGTACTAGTAGTCGTCGTCGTAGTAGGCGTAGTCGTAGTGGTAGTAGTAGCAATTAGTGGTCGTGGTGGTGGTAGACGTCGTCGTATGACCATTGTACCGCATGTATATATATATATAGAATTATATAGATAGCTCTCTCTCTCTCTCTCTCTCTCTCTCTCTCTCTCTTCACGTCTTCTGATGGCAGCAGTTTGGGAGGCAGCTGGCATAAGAACGAAGATCTATGGCCACTCCTCCGATTGTTGCTTGCAGGCTCCACCGCAGCAGCCGCAGCAGGCCCATATACATCCAGCAACCAAAGAATTGCGTGCTGCCACAGCTGCCGTGCTTTGGCGATCTCGGTTTTGCATGTCAGGACAGAAGCTTGCAAAGAGGGCACCGGCGGCCCCCGCCGTCTCGCCCGCCACGCTCCTCTCGGCCGACGCCACCGTCGCGCCCACCGCATGCCTCTCGCAGAGCTGCTTGCTACCAAAGCCTGAGTTTGCAAGCACGCTGTGAATCTCCGGTTGCATAGTGTTGATTGATTGAATAGTTGCCGAAGCGTCAGAGACAGTGTGATGCCATCATTGCTGGAAGGGGCAAGGGCGAGCGGCTCGGCCATCACCGTTCCTGCGGAATTTGCCACGTGGACCAGAAAACGACACCAGCGATTGCCACGCCCTTGGATAGCTCCCACGATGCCTTCGCTAGTTCATGCTTCCACTGCAAACATCAAGGTCGTTCGAACTATCGTATCCAGACCCGATAACCTACCGCCGGCTTGACCAAGTTGAGTCGATCCGAAAACCCGAAATCCGGCAACCCTTAGGTGCCCAAATGTCCGAGGGCCCGTGACGGTGACTCACTTCTTTGGCAAAGCCGCGATTCACCAAGGCTTGTCATCAGAGAATGGCTTTCTTTCCCTGGCATAGCCAAAGATCAACCGGGCAATCTTGCTCCTTCAGGGGAAAACGTGTCGCTAGCCCAATCATACAATGAATGTGCCGTAGATGTTGCTTCTTCAGAGGGCGGACTAACTGTGCCATGCCAGCTCCGCAACCTGAATCGCGAATCTTTGTTCGCCGGCCGTGGTGTGTGTGCTCCATGACATCGCACCAACAAGACCCTCGGTAGAAAATGCTCCAAGGTCCTTTGCCGCCTATGGTTGCCTCTTATTCGCCTGCGAGGCGAACTGCGCTGGCTTCGCACCCAAGAAGTCGTTGCCTCGCAGATTGGGAGCAACCATGCGCAAGCCTAACCCCTCACCTAGAGGGTCGCATCCTCGCAGTTTGAGATCGGACCGAGGTGGGTCTACCTGGTTACGCTTCATGCTGGAACGCAGCTCTGAAGCAACCCGTGCCTACACGCTAACTCGATATGTCCTTGGGCTTGTGCCTTTGGAGCTCCCTCGCAACACAGACACCTAGGCATTCTCTGCAAAGCTTCCGTTGCACTTAGGTGCATCTGGTTTACCCTGTGGCTTTGAAGATCCTGGCTGGGCCCTGCGGCGGGAAGACTGAATGATTTTTCCTTCGAGCAGGAACACGAAGTTAAACAGCGAAAACGCAGCGGACAATTTTCGGCCTCAAACCGAAGATTGTATCGCAGGTACTGGACGACAATGCATATGTTGGATTCGGGCAGACGCAGTTGGACAACTGAAGACTGCTTGCTGCCTGGTTCGCTGAGGCAAACGTCTTACCGCATGTCGGGGAAGATCCTTCTCGCCCGACGAGCATCAACAAAGCACCTGGTTGGCAAGTGCAGCACATAAACTGGGAACTTTCGCCTTGAATCAGCGTTTGGCAAACTAATTGGGTGTTGTTGAACGAGAGAGGACTCGCGGACATGCCCTAGACTCGATACGAACTCTGCACCAGATATGACTGACAGTGGCAACATTCAGAAGTGTCAGTCAGGGATACGCTGACTGTATGAGAAAGAAGCCTGGCGAGGGCCGGCAACAATCACTCCAAGTTAGTTTGTTTGCTGTCGCCACGCTGCGCCAGCTACAGAAGCGAGATGCTTCCGGTTACAGATAATGTGGTATGCTGTACGGATCTCCGGGAGGCAGGATTGTCAAACACAATATGTTCACCACTTTGCGGCTGCAGAAAATTGAATCGCAGCAGTACTTTTGGAAAGGATTTGGTGGAATTCTGGGCACGCTCGAATCCTCTTGAATCCCGCCAGTATGTTCGGGCCGTGGTCCTGAGTTCTCCGTGATCTCCTCGCCGTCTCCTTGTCGGGCTACTGGTCGTCGTGGTGCTCTTCAATCGGTTTGGGGATCTGCGCTGAGAGAATGTCAACTATCTATATCATATATGCATATGTACTTGTCTCATCTCTATGCTCACGTCTTTGCCACTTCGCCTCGTTTTGCAGCGCACCATTCCAAAAGTCTTGTCGAATAGTGTCGACTACTTCTACAGAGTGACGTGACGTTTCATTGCAGTTGGTCCAAAAAGTGAAGTGGAGCACGTTGCTTGTGCCCGACTCTGGTATGGAGCCAAGCATGTCCAGCCATTTGAGAGTTTGAACCGAAGAACACCCACTTCAGGAAGCAGGAGCCTCATTGTTCCCCCTGGCTCGGGGGGGAGGGGAAGAAGCAATGCCCGCTTTCGAAACGATTGGTTGGTGCTGCCGGCCTCGGCGTTGAACTTCCGATTTGGGCTTGGAGTTTCAAGATGCAAGTTGAGGTCTGACAGCTTCTTGTTGCCTTTTCATGCCCAGGACGGCCTCGTTGTGAAAACTCACAGCATATGCTACGGCTGCCGCTTGGACTGAAATCCGCGGTCGCAACGACAAGCATCGCGCTGTTGAGCAAAGGCTGGGCAGATGCTACAGTGGAGGACCGGCTCACCATCTCTGGCCACACCAAGTTGACGATGGAGCGGGCGTCGAAATTTGTAGGACCGCCCTGCAAGATGTGACAGGTGGCCCAAAGCCCCTGCTATGTAAGTTTTTCCAAGGCCACCGGCGAAAGAAATCAGCCTTTCAGGACGAGAGTATGCGGAGCGCATCCAGTCCAAAGGCTGCTGCCGGGCGCTCAACATCGAATTATGTTCAACATTTTCTGCTTGGTCTATCCCAACACTTGAGGGCCACCGGGCGTCTCCTTTCACCATGCCACTGTTGTTGCTGATTTGCTTAACTCTCGGATACCGTTGCAAATTGATGATGTAAACGCTTTTTTTCCAGTCTTTTAGGTCTGCCCATGCATGCCAATACATACAGTAGTTTCGTGAAATGTCAATCTGGCAAAGACCTCAACTCTGTTGCCAACTGCAATGTGCTATCACCAATCATTGTAAAAGCTTCCACTCTTCTCTCAGACAGCTTCCTGGATTGGCAGAGAGTGCGTGCAAGGGCTTTCCGGAACAAGGTCTCGTCTTCCCGCCCGGTACGCTTGAGTCGATGATCCGGGCGCTGTTCGGCTGCAACAGCAGAGGTGCATTCTCAGAGGCTGTTAGGCGGGAAGTGGCACAGGGGGTGACAGCGGGAGTGGATCAGGTGGCGGGAGGTAGAATGACCTGCAGGACGCTCTAGAAAGTCGGTCTTCGCTAGTCAGCTTCAGACATGAACTATTATTATTATTATTGTTATTATTATTGTTATTATTATTATTGTTATTATTATTGTTATTGTTATTATTTTATTACGAGGTTGGGTTTCATTTTTGATTCCTCGCCCGTTTCTGAGGCGGAGCAGAGCCAGTGAGGAGACGAAGGCTCGAGGTTTGCCGTGTTTGTCTTCCCCGTAATAACAATAACAATAACAATAATAATAATAACAATAATAATAATAATAATCAGAATCAGAAGCTTCAGAGCCTCATGGAAGTTAAGCCAGGCGGCTCTTCACATACCCTGCGAGCACACGCAACCAAGAAGCATTTGGAGGGCTACGGTACTGTTCTGAATGAGACAGCTTTTTTCAGTCTCCTCGATCCGCGGGCCGGCGACATCTATTGCACAGTCGATTGCAAGCTTGTGTGGAAGGTATGACCAGGCGATCATCTTGCACAGAGATCCCTTGGACGTGTTCAGGCACACCATTTCAGCTTAAGCTTCAGCTTTCAGTGCTGTTCGTTCTCTGCTGTCTGCGCAGAAATAGAGTCCAGAGCACTCACTGTGTGCGGCCCGCGAAGGTCTAACTACCACTACCGGACGAAGGCTGACTTTCTCTGTCGCCTGTAGGAGAGGACTTCATATTTTCAGTTTTGAGACATGCCCTTGTGCCTACTCCCCAAGCATCTATGTCATGCATAATCGACGAACATGTTTTGTACCTCTGCGGGTCGGCTGTCGCTGTAAAGGGAGTTGCCCGCTCGTGCAGGTCCTGCGTGCCCGGCACGGGGCCTCCTGGGCAAGGGAGAACTATAGTTTTCCACAGGAGCACGATGCCAGATGTAGCTGCATCAGTGGACTGATGTACAACCAGGGAGGATGTACACCGGAGCTTGTTTGAGGGGATGCAGTGCCAAACCACTCGTTGCAGGAGAGAGCTCGGGCATACATGCTCCTCGGATAGACCGTCTGTGTGCACTTAAGGGGAACATGACGAAGAGTTCTTGAGTGCAGCCACCTCGAGCTCGTTGTTCTGATTGCATGCCAGCACCCTGGAAAATCACAGGGAGTTCCACGAGAAGTGGAAGACCTTCGCTTCTTTGCCAGCACTTGGTCAAGGGAGCCGAAGCATCTCTCTCACTTACTAGTCTAGAACTAATTATAGTGTTATAATATTATAGTAGCAGTATAGCATTATAGTAGTATTATACCATGTAGTATTGTCTGAAACCGTCCCTCACATTGCCAGCCAAGGCCGAGAGGCGCCCAGCTTGGGCCTAAGTGAAACGTGCACTGTGCCAATGCTCTTAAGGATGAGCTGCAGCGCAGTATGGAGTAGCAAAGAAGTCGTTTCAATATGCCTGCCTCCTACCTACCCACCATACCCACCATACCCACCATACCCACCAACCTATCTACCATCTACCTACCTGCTTACACTCACCTGCTTGCAGGCCTACCCGCCTGCCGACCTGCCTACTCCTGCCTACCTACTTACCTCGGTAGGTCTGTACAGACAGACAGACAGGAAGAAACAAAGACGCATCTGCATACGTGAGTACCTGTCTGCCTCCGTACCCCTACCTCCTTCCTGCCTACCTACCTATACATCTACGGACAGACATACATGCCTGCCTACATAATCCAGACATATGCCTGTAGAATGAATGGCCCTTGTTTGGCTCGGACTGTGACAGACTTCGGTAGTCATCTGGGCGTTTACGTGTGATGTTTCTGCATGCCTACCTGCCTAACCCCGTACTGCAGGCGCTTTTTGTTCGCTATGAAGACATGAAAGCCGACCCAGTGCAGCAGTTGTCGTGGGCTCAGTGACATTGTTCAGACGTGCGCGAGTTTAACCGAGTTTCCTGGGGCTTCTCCGGCTAAGGAAGCGCATCTTCGCTTTTCTGGGTGTTGAGGCAGGGTTCCATCTACCAACACAGGCAGCCTACAGCAGCCCGAGCTCCAGGTACCAGCAAGCAAGCTGGCTTGTGCAGTCGAGCAGTCCACCATGGACAAGCTCAAGGAGGATCGGGAGCAAGTGAGCCACCAAGTCACATTGGATTTCTGGCGAAGAAAATTCGGAGGGGCCATGTGTCAGGAGACTTCCAAGACCCGCGGCAGAGTGAAGTCCCAGGACTTCTTCGGCTCACGTGGTTCCACAGAAGCACAGGACACCCGGCCTTGGTTCTTTCGGCGCAGCCGTTTGTTTGCAGGGGCATCGAGGCAGTTATGAATACACAGCATTAGCCGGCTCGCATCGCCATCGGCTGCACTTGCGAGTAAACAACTTGCTGCACGGGGGAGTCTGCCCTGTGACCGACCCGTCTGAGGAGGATCTGTCGTACCCGCTTCATAGCTGCACGAAGGAACGGAAATTTCAGCGACATTCACACAGCTCGTACGACGCTGTAACCGGGCTGTCATTGACTCTGAGCCTATAGCGCGTTTGCACAATGCTGTGGAGAAGGCGCTTGACCTTTATGGCTCAGCTGGAGCTTACTGTTCAAATTCGCAAAATCGAGGACGGGTCTGCTCGATCATTTCCAGCAAGCTGGAGTTTTCGAGCTTGCCCGATCACTGGGATATTCAAAGCCGCTGGACTGAGTTGAGCCAGTTTTTTGCAGAAGTTGTGCTGAAGGTTTAGCTAGCGAACACGCTACGTTTACCGATGGCCAGAACAGGGTCGGAGAGAGAGAGGGACAGAATTTGATTGATTTCGTATCAGCTGAAAGTGGGGGAATCTGCCTTGTGAGCCTCCGGTCTAGCCACCGTCTTTTACAGCACTGCCAGGGTGAGCTTGTGTCCGACGGGGGGAGCACACAAACGATAACTCCTGTTTTCCGTGTTGCGAGGTGCATCAGTGTAGAAGTGCCTTTGCAACTGAACGTGCTCCACCAGTCACGTTCTGTCACATGCTACCCTGATCAGGCCCTCAGATTACAGTGTCCTCAAGTGTTATGTTACATGTTGTTGCAAATACTTACTGCTGTTGTGAGGGTCCTGCTCAGCGCATGCCCGGGGATGCCTGGGGAAGTAAAACATATCGCATGTACTTTCAGGGCTATCTTGTTGAGATCTTGTTGGGGGGACCCTCCCGAGGGAAGATCCCGGGGGGATGGACGAACACCCCGCAATCACAAGCGGGTGTGCATGCGCACGCGAGGGAGCGACCTGGATGCTGCCGCGACCCTCAAGCCCGGCAGAGAGAGAGAGAGAGAGAGAGAGAGATTGAGAGAGCTCGTACTTCACGCCTCCGAAAACCCAAACACACTTCGGGTGGGCACGCGTCGGGGCCGGGGGCCAGCACCTGCCGCCAGCAGCACAGAGCCCCATAGAGCAAGCCGGAGCGATGGCAACGCACAACCAACACACACAGCCGCCTCCAGCGCAGTACCAAGCGTCTGCAGGACCTCCGCCCATGGACCCCAATGCCCTCCCACCAGTAGCAACAGCAACAGCAAATGCTCCAGTATGCGGCTACACCACGGGCCGTAGCCTCGCAGGGCCAAAGCCAAGCAGCAGCCGCCACCACAGGCACGCAGAGCACGGCAGATGGAGCAGGAGGAGGGGGGCAAGCTGCAGCACAAGGCCCCACACTGGGCCCATCGTACCATGAACACAGACCATCTCCGTGGGATAACTATTCAGGAAAAAGCCCAGAGGCCAAGGATGCCCAAGACCAAAAGAGCGCGTCTGCAGGCAACCAGCAAGCCCCGCACACCACAGACAGCGACTCTAAGCCAGGAGATGGGGGGGAGGCGACAGTCCGCAGCAGGACGGTGGGCGCCCACAACCACCACAGCACCAAGCCCCGTCAAGCCAAGCAGGGGGGGACATCCCGCCAGACGCTCCGCTGGAGGAGACCTGCGTCCCGACACCGCAGGAGCAAGGGGGGGCGCAGCCCGACAACATCCGACAACGCAGCGGCGGCGACATGCAGAGCAACAGCGCATCCAGCAGACGGAGATGGAGGGGACAAGCCGGGACAAGAGTGCGGGGGACGAGCGCAACAGGCCGCATATCACGAAGGCCAAGGAGACCAGCGCCGTGGCAATAAGGCCACCAAATCCGAGATCCGTGCGGCATTCCGTGCCCGGCGGCTCCACAACTTGGGGTAGGCACCCTTCGAAGCGGAAGCAGGGAGGCCAGCACCACAGCAGGCAGCACCGACGAGGGAAGGAACCACGCCTACAGGCACCCACTCCCAAGGAACAGCCACACCAACCCAGGAGCCAGCACCAGACTCCAAAGCCGCACAAGAAGCACGAGAACGCTATGAGCAAGACAAGGAGCACTTTCAGCAGCTGCTAGCCAAAGCGGACGGCCTTCTGCAAACACGCCAAGGGGCGGAGGGGGAGGCGACCCACGGCGGCGGCACGCAGCCACGCAGGGGGAGCGAGCTCCGGAGGGCCACAATGGTGGAGTGATTTTTTTCCACTTGACGAGGTGGTGGAGTGGAAGGGGAGGCGGAACGCCTTCTTTGTGAGCCTGACCAAGGCCCGGGAGAGTGACCCTAAACCCTACTTTGAGGGGGTGGCAATCGAACTGGTCCCACTGGGGGGGGCCTGCAGAACCTGCAGCGAGGCGAGCCCATGCAGTGGCTCATGCACGTGCGCAGGACCCAAAGCCCAACGAGGGGGAGAGAGGAGCCACGACACTTAGCCTGGGCCACTACATTCTTAGCTAGCAGCAACTGGGGCATACACACGGTGGCGCTGGAAGCGGGGGAAAACCTGCGGAACGAGGCGGTGGGGGGGAGAGGCAGACTCCCCGACATGAGTGCACACATGCAGGATGCAGAGATAGACCAACTTAACTTGGCCCTGCACCACATGTGATAGCCAAGATCAGGGGGGCCCGCGCCATCACCCAGATGCAGTGCACGACCCATGGCAACCATGCGCTCACTTACCTCCACGAGAAAACACACGCCACAAGAGCCGGGTCGGGCACCCCCCGAGATACAACCAGCAACGCAACCACAGCACCATACCTCACTGGCAGGGGTGGCGGCTGGCCACCAGCCCGGTACAGGGAGGGGGAGGACAGGGGGCGGCAACCGGGGTGAGCTTCTCTTTCTACTCGACGATAGCCAGGACAAGCTTTTTTCAGCCGACGGCCGGGAAAACACCCCCAACGAGCCCAACGGACACCACAGCAGTGCCCAAAACAAAGCCGCCACAACCACCAAGCACCAGCTCCAGCTCTGAAAGCGGATGGCCAAGCGAGGACGAAGCACCACCGAAAAATGACCCGAGCTCGGGAGCACGGCAGCAGGGGAACCAGCACTACAGCAACAGCGGCCGCGCCAGCAACAACCAGCGAACCCGAGAAAGCTGCAGCAGAGACCGAGGGGACAGTGAAAGCTCCGCACAGGAGGAACGACGCAGCCGCAGCCCAACCCATAGGGGGACAGAGGGAGGCAGGGCAAGCAGCAGCTGTAAAGGGGGGTGCACAGCCACCACAACCACTGCCCCTTACACATGTCGACTACCTGCAGGCGGGGGGTCGAGCAGCTCAAGCACTTCTTTTGTTTGGGGGGCAGCAAGGTTGGGGGGCTCACCCAACGCCCGGCCTGACCAGAGTCCTCATGCACGGGGGGACCAGCGGAGCTACAACAAGACTTTGACAGGTCAGTGCGAATGGCAGACCCAGCCCTCTACATGCAGGGGGGGCAAGCCCTCCACAATGCCCGGAACGCCCTAGACGAGGTTCTCAACTACGGGGAAGATGGGCTCACAATGGATGCGGACACATTGGATGCGGACACATTGGGGCAAGACCTTGGCCGAGTCCACACCCATCTCATGCACGTGGAGGAGGCGCACCACGTGCTCTTGGGGGACATGAGGGGGGAGTTGCCCACACTTACGGGGATGAGGCGGGGCTGCTGCAAGCTGTGCACACATGGTCCACCCCTTGGTGCCAGCTTCTGCGGGGCTTCGAGAATGAGCTGGCACAGCTCCCCACGGACCAACGCAACGCCTGCGCAAGGCAGATGGTGGAACGCGTTCATTGGCCACCCAGCGCGGGGGAAGCAACCAGGGGATACGGCAAGGCCCTGCACATCCTCGGCATCCTCGAGCATTCCTTCCCAGACCAACATAAAGGGGGTCCCATCCACGAGAACCGACGATGGCTGCAACACTGGGGGAAAAGCTGGCCAAGCATGTGGGGGGTATGGACATCCAAAAAGGGAGCCGGCGAAGGCAACCCTGAGGCCCACCGGCAGGGAGCAAGAACGAGGGAGGGGCCCAGATGAAAGCTCCCCCCCCACACAGCACCACCATGAGGGGGAGAAGCCTCAGCTGCAGCAAAAGCCCCGGCGTTGGCAGTACACAAGCAGAACCCACAGCGAGCCGGGGCTGAGTGCACCAGACCACACGGGCAGCAACCAGCCGTCCCAAGCCACTACAGTGCCATGGCGAGCAGCAACACAGCACTGCCCCCAACCCAGCACCCCAGAGGAACATAGAGTACCAGAAGGGGATGAGAACAACAGAGTTCAACAGAGCGGGGACCCCAAACCCGCTTCGAAGCGCCAGAGCACAGGCCGCAGCTTTCCAACGTACAGTCAGCAACGAAACGGAGGCAGCAGCAGACCAAGCGATGGCAGACCCAGCAGTGGGGAGCAGCAAGGGGGGGCCACGCACCATCAGCTGAGGATGCGGAAGGGGTGGAAGCCAGGTGGAAGCAGTGGAGCTGCGTAATGCTGCGTATCACGGAAGCCATGCAGCTCACAGGGGCCATAGGGTTATAGGGCTGGACGCAGCCTCGAACCACCTGGCGCGGCCTTGACGAGCCTCCAGGTCGACCAACCCGGGGGGGAGCACGAATCGCACCACCACCGCCGAACGCCTTCGAGCTTGCCACCTTGGTGGCGGGGGTCATGGACGAAGCCCCGGCAGCCCCCACAATGGGGGAACTCCTGAAATCCTGGAGCTGGTCCAAGCGGGGCTACAAATCAAACGCCCACAACTGGCAACAGACCCACTATACACGAAGGACGCAGTGGAGGCAGAGGCGCTGCTCCATACGCTAGTCACTACCATGGAGCCCACAGCGCATAGGGGGGACCTAGCAACCCTCCGAAAACCTAAAGTACAACAACAGGTGGAGCAGCCCTACAAGAGTTGGTCACGTGGACAGTCCAGCACTGGGAGGAGGAGGTGGAACTGGTGGGGGAGAACGAACTAGGCACGTTCCACATGGCCCGGCTTGACTCCTTTGGCCACGCGAATAATCCGGAGCTCCAGAGGGGGACACGGCGGCCAGTACCTCGAGGGGGATTACACGACCCGCCGCAAGTCCTCCTGACAGACCGATGCCTGAGTGGGGAGAGAGACGCCGTAGTTGCACGAACCCAAGCTCCCTCGACCAGGACGACTGAGTCCCCTAATTCAGGAGTGATTAGGTTGTGTTTCGTGCGCAGACTCAGTTTGCAGTTCGTGGGGGCCGGTGGGGGCCTGACAAATGCCCTGCAGTGCATAGTCAGGCTTCAGGGGGGGTGGGAATTGCAGGCAGTGTTGCGCAAGGTTCTGTTCGGGATCAGGTGGGGAGGCAGGTGAGGTTGGGTTAAGTAACACAGTAC